TAACGATTGAGAGCATCCTTTAAATAATCATTCTTCATTAACGACTGAGATCATTCCAATATTTTGAACCGAAAAATTTTTAACCGCTCATTTTTATATTTTTCATACTGTGGTGGCGGCTCTAAAAAATATAGATTTGTTGATATGCAATATTTTAATAAAAAATCACTCTATACGATTCAACCCTAATTTTTCTATGCCTAGTGAATTCACTGTTGAGATTTTTCTCGCACCCAATAACCGTTTGCATGGATATACAACGTGCCAACGTGGAAATGCTTTTCTCTAAATTATATAACACTCAACTATACGAGATAAATACTATCAGGTTCAATTTCTCACTTAATTTCGTTCGCATTCACTTCATAGGTTTAGCGCAAAAGAATTATGTAAGACTTTTTTATAAGGCAATTCAACCCTGAAATATTTAAATATTGGCTGTGTTTTCCGTAGACTAAACCTAATGTAAAATAGATATTATTGGGAGAAATTAATTTCTATTATAATGTCAGAGTTAGTTATTAGATCAGGATATTCGATTGTTATCACTCAGGGATCATCAAAATACTCTGTTTGAAGCCGAATTATTCTTATGATAATTACATACGGAGCAAAGCTAATTTAAACGTCATCAGGATCCTAAGTAACAGCGAGTTATTAAATTGCATGTTATTAGCCACGTATACTATTGAATAGTTTCATTAAGAACTTAATTCCATTAAAGCTATTAATCTGTCTCTAGTTGCATCAATAATTTCTTTCCGATTCTGTGCCATAACATGCTCTGATCTAAAGCACACAATAATGTTATTGAGAAAATTAAATGTCTAATTATCATGCGTTGCCTTCACATGTATGAGTTAAAAGTCAGTATGGATGTTATATACACAGAGAATAGACTGGATTTGAGGAATTTTGTTATTCAGCTGTAAAGGAACTGCACTTTAATGGTAGGTATTTCGTTAGAAAATAGACATGCGGAACTAAAGGAATTTCTCGCAATCAATTGCCTGGATTAATTCGGTGCTGAACATAAATTAGTGCATTAATATTTGAGACTAGATCATTTTTTAAATGTATCTATTCACTACACCACAAAAATTTTGCGTGTTTCGTAAGTATTCAATTCACAAATCTATAAAATTTTAATTTTGAATTTTGAGAATGCCACACAGACAATAATTTTAATTGCTGCCATTAGCGCGCATTTCCGAAACGTTCATTTCTCATGAGGATCTTCTATCTGAAGTGATTGCTTTTTAGTTATTTGCATTTCTAAAATATTGAAATTCTAACGTATAATGTTCGACCTAAGTCAAACTTTCGGCGCGCATCATCATCTTTTATTTAAGTTAAATCTCAAAACGTCAAATTTGTATTTAAGTCGTCGATTCCGGCGGTCGTTGCGAGACGTGCGGTCTTTCCGTCGATTGTGTTTTATGCGTCGCAGCTTGCGGGAACTTCCGTGCAGCACGCGAATCTGAACGGGAAGTTGATCGCGATCCAGGCCTCCTCATTATTATTAATATCCTTTAGAATCAGTCCATGCGATCAAGTAATTGCGCCCAATCTTCTCCACGATATAATTGCTTTCCGATATGATCCATGAATATTAAAAGTGCAGCTCCTATTGAGCCCACCCACAGAACAGTTCATTGCAGTGCGTTTGTGTTTCAAGTTAATTAAGGTGGATCTTACCGAAGGCTATGTGATATTTAAAGCCGTAATTTGCGTATGGATCAAACTGTTTTGATTAACCTGACCTTTAATAACTGGCAAAGGACTCGATATTTTCATTACTTCCTCTGGAGCTTCACCACAAGTGCTACGTAGCATGAAATTACAAAGGTTTTGGAAAAATTAAATTGAAACGGTTACAAAATGACTCGAAAACGCTGATAAACTTTCAAACAATCGTCCTAGGAGCATGTTCAATGTTCATGGGGACATTCAATTGTTCTACTGAATCAAGTAATCTATACACTTTTATATTGCTGTATGTATACAGCAATATGAATAAGATAACCAATATGGTATGGGTTATCTTATGAACTATGCCACATAAATCATTTTGACGCGAGAGGACATTTGGAGCGGAAATTAGATGGATAGAAGAATAAAAATTTTAAGAAGATTATTGTGAGGTGTTGATTGGGATGAGGGATGTGAAATAGAGGATTTCAACAATATAAATGTTAATAGAAAAGAGTGAAGGGGTTTGAAATGTGTATAATAAAGAGAAGAACGATTCGTTGGAATTGTTTTGTCGTGCTGAAGAAGAAAGAAGAGTATTGTTACCAGGATTAGAATGTTTACTGACGAGAAAAAAAGGCCGTTGGAAACAAGAATTGCTGTAGGTGGGACTAATATTTATAAAAACAACGTGTGAAATGTAGGGAATATGTGTGTCGTAATAGGAAGAAGGAGTTTCTGTTAATAGACAGGGTGTTTTGGATTTGGAAAAAACATGAATTATCTAGAAACGAAGCGCTGCGAGGGAGTGGGGTGTTGTGAGGGTAATGAGGGGAGGTTTGTGAGGGGAGAAGAGGGGAGTCAGATCAAGAAGGGAAATGTAAAGGATGCAGGTTATGGCTCTGTGAGAGGTCAATAAAAAGTCGCTTGGGAAATACACGGCTAAGTTCTCCTCGATCTGCAAATTTTGCGAAATTTTAACTTTAGGTGAGCGTCGGAGGTTTCATCATGGTACGGCGGAGTGTATTTCGGAATTACTCGAAAAGCTGCTATGGGAAAATGTAACGATTGCAGATGAAATGAAATGAATTTTGAGAATAATGATTGAAGATGAGATGAAATCTTACCACTTTCTTAACATGCTTGCATATTTTTGCAAGACGCATGATTTTTTGCTTCAAAAAGTTCATGCGTGACAACCACCTCGATGGTAAATTAAAATTTCATTGACTCTTTTGTATTTCAAGTGAGAATTTGAGGACGATGAAGACGATAAACAAGGCGACGACAGCCAACGTGGCACTCGGACTCTAGCCACCATATTTCCAACGACGAGTGCCAGCCTTCTCTTTACGAGCCCGTACGTCAGGATTGAAGTACGACAAGGATCTTTGAGTATCCTTCGAGACACTACATTTTGCTAGATTTTTCTTCTTATTTTTCGACTGCGTGCGTGAAGACTGGAAGTGTTCGTCAGCAATCTCAGAATTCAATGTTGGAGAATGACCAAGAGATGACGCAGTGAGAGCGAAATACTTTTGAGTTTACCTCCGAGAACTAGAGCGCCAGTCTGGAAAATAAGTAGCATCACAAATATTTCTTGGCGCGAGAAAATCCAACATTGCGCTTCATTTTGGATTAAATTTCCTGAAAGAGCGCTGCTGTCATTATTGTCTTACGGGACTATGATACAATAGGAACTCTGATGGAAATAATTTTTTTGATTTATTCAAAGTTGATTTATTCATTTGACAGGATGAGCAAACCATGTTCAAATTAGATGACCTCATTTAAAATTATTAAGCAAGAAAGTTATTCAGATTTCCAGCTTTTCCCAATGGGAAATTGAGATTTTTTATTTACTTTGGAAATAATGTGTGGACACCCGAGAAAAAACAATACGAGAGCTAGTTCTACCAAAAATGCACGAATCAGTGTATATGTCAGATTTATGCCCAGCTATTTGTTGTTTTTAAATGAAAGTTCTGCAATATTGTCACCTGAAATATTGGCATCACTATGATCATTCAGGATGAAAATATAGCGTGCGCTTTGAATCGAGTGAACTCCGCATCCTAATTTTGTTGAGATCAACACAAGTGATCACTTATGTCTTGGTGGTTCGTCGTCCCATTAAGTAGTTTGCTCATCGGGTCGTCGCTCGAAGTATATATCAAGAAGTTTGACTTTAGATCCTAAAAATGTTCTCTGTTTTTTAAATTCATTTTAATTTCAGCTTAACCACGGCTTTTTACGTTGCATTGTTTAGTTTGAACCTTATTTTAAAGGTCGAAATAAAAGTAATGAAAATAGTTACGTTGGACCGTTTAAATCTCTGTAATGAATTATCTTAAGTAAAAATTCCTACATCACAGTCAAATGGCCTTAATTTTATACTAAACACACTCATATTGAAATAATAAGTTAACTAAAAAAATATCGTATATGTCAAAGAAGCATGCATTGCTGTTTGATCGATGAAATAATCATTAGAGTTCATCTCCATGAAATTATCTCATGCACTCTCTTATTCAAATCTAATAATTCCACTAAAATCGCCTTATAATTTGGGCCCAAAAATGACGGGTGGTGATCAGTTTTATTCGGCATCGACTCATCAGCAAATGTCGGCAGATACCAAATGTCTCTTCAGTAACCGAATTATGTATCGCAGCTCGACATTATTGAGCATCTTTTGTGGGTGCTGCCCGGCGCTATAATGTTGTTCCGAAGCATTACCTTCTGCCTCATTGTCCTGCCACTCGACATTTTGTCTGCACTCAAACTCGTCCCTAAAATGACGATATGGAAACAAGCGGCAAAAAAACAGTTCGGTGTCCGTAACGAGTATCACTATTTTTTGTGTTCTTAGCTAGATTATAGCGTAGAATTGCCGTTAGACATTTTTTGGTAGTAACACCCTATAGTTTTTTTAATTTTATTAAGTCATTTACATTATGATGTATTTTCGTGCCTTTGGCGTCCTCTTCAAGTTTGGACAAACATGACTCGTTTTCTCGATGTCATGTTCGTGTCAAGGTGTCATTTAATACTTATTGCCATATCTGATATGCATTTAATACTTGAAGTTTGTCAAATGAAAAGTAATATCACAATTTTTAAATGAAATATTTTATTGGATCCGACAGTGGTTTTCCTCAATGAATCCAAAGATATGTATAGTCATGTTTATTTGCAACCGAAACGCTTGTTTTCAAGAAAAAAATTTAAAATAATATAGAATTTATTTATTTATTTGTGGATTTTTTATATCCAGCAAAAAATAATACGAATTTTTTTCATTCCAGACGAGGCGGGCGCAGTCCTGCACCATCACCGCACTTCACCGCGCATCGCCAGAGACCCGCAATCCTTCCTTACGAACATCCTTGTTAACGTTGCTAAACGCCCACTGTGTTTCTCACGAAATATTTCATTTATCTATTTAACATCTGATTTTATAACCTATGATACAGCAGTAATATAATCAGCACCTTCTATTTGTTACTTGTTTAATTTGTAGGCTTGATAGAGAAGACAACAGCTGTTTTACTTATAGTTTTAATGACACTGGAGCCTAGCCATGTTGGCTTCCGATTTTACCCCTGAAGCCGTTAAATGAACTGAAATGATTCATTGATGAGGTTAAAGAGTGAATCTTAAATTTAATTCTATTTACAATGCTTGGAAGCACTGACATGAGTAACCCCAACATGTCTAGCCACACAATATCACCGGGCAATGCAAGCCCTTCACGCCTCCCCAATGATCCAGTCAATGGAGATTCACGTAACAAAACCGACAAAGAAAACAACGAGTTCGTTTCAACTCAAGACACCATCATCGAAAAGAACAACAAAGGAAACGGCGACGATACCTACAATCTATGTTGGAAAGAGTTCGCTTCAAATCTTGGTTCGTTCTTCAGGTAAGACAAAGCTGCAGAGCAAGATAATATTCGATGAGTCTGAGAAAAATATTCTGAACGTGAATAATATATAGAATAAATTTAACGGCTCTGATGAGTGACTTATCGGCTACCAAAAATTATTAATTTTTGCGGTGTTTTTCACAGAACATGCTCGTAAGATTCGCAAGCGATACTCTCATGATTAATTGTACCTTTGGTTAATTTGTTATTACTAATGAGTTTTGAACACAGTATTGGCACTTGCGCATGTCTTCGTTGCAGAGAAATAAAAGACTCGGGCGAGTTTGTGGACGTGACTTTAGCATGCGAGGGACGGCAATTGCCCGCCCACCAAGTGGTTTTGTCGGCCGCAAGTCCCTTCTTCAGGCAACTACTTAAGGTATCTCAATAATTTCTTTGAATTTCATTGATATTCAAATTTACATTGGTAAGAAAAGAATTTTCAATTGAATCATTTTTCATTTGCATCCCTGTATGATTTGATTTATTTTCCGAGATAACAAAAATGATAAATAACGCAGGCAAAATTTTGTCTGCCTAAAATAGTCCGATCACCTAATTTGAAGTAATTGTTTGAAAAGGCGATTTTCTACCATAGGGTCTAGAAATTCCGACCAATAACGTTAGATTTTTCTTCATTAGGCTTAACTTAAACTATAAGGACATTAGGCACAAGATCATTCTGGTATCAGTTAAAATATTCCATGGATATATTTAATACAGAATGAGACAGACTATTAAAATTTTGAACGATATAGACAAAAGTTTGAACGAAAAGTATATTAAAACAACAAATTACACGTTTCATCATTATTCATCTCAAATGATGAATGCTGTTAAAGACCTCCCCTCAAACACAACACTAGGCAATATAAAAGTAGCACAATAGATGATTAAATAATAAAAAGGGGAAAATCATCGATGGTGACTTTTTAAAATTGAAACTTGAAATATATGTACTCATTTCCAGGCAATCTATTTCCTCCACCAGAATGGCCATTATTTCTCACCCTCCACTTAAATTCAACACTTAAATTCCAAAACTTTCAAATATTTGTCGGAATTCTTAACATTTTTTTAAATTCAAATAAATAATCTTTATTATGCCCACTCACTAGGTATCTTAATTATGAGCTTTAATTGTATATTGCATTTCTGGTATTCGTTGTTAAATTCTCAGCGCAGAAGCGTTGTTCAGAAGCATTTCAGGAAGCCTTGTCACCGAAAGTTATTTTCTCTGTCATGTCTTGAACACCCAATTAATGTCCCCTGATTACCACTGTGCAAAGACCTATTATTCTCCCACCTTTGCTATCAAACACCAACAAACCAAGCAAGCGTCGTTGGTCTGGGCGTCTCAGTTCGTCCTGTGCTGGACTTCTCAACAAGAGCATCGCGATTGCTTACTCATCACTTCCGATCAATTAAGATGAAGACACTGTAATGAGAGCTCATTTGTGGCTGCCTTCTATTGTAGCTGCCATCTTCCAAGATTCTAGTCTGGTTGGCGGGCTGTAATGGAAACCGACTCATCGAGTGTCACGCTTTCTAAGGCCTTGCTTTGCTCTTCGATCTCGTCACCGACATCGGGTATCGGCCTCCACCAACCTGGCCTATCAAGTATCGCTCCCCGTAGCTTGTTTTGGAACGCTCCGAGGCGCGCAACATCCTTCAATACTTCTTGGAGAAATTCGTGGTCATTAAGAATGCGATGCTACTGAATAGCTGAGTCATCGTTGCTGGCCCATGCTGAAAAAAAATTTAGGGATAATTTAATAGTAAAGAATATGCTATTCAAAGCCGTTGACTTCATAGTATTTTGTGACGCCCGATTTAAAAAGTTGCTCCTGATTACACCTGATTCATCAATACCAACATGTATAAACTAAATTTACAAAACTATGTAACAATATAAATAAACTCAAATAAAACTTAGGTGTGATCTTTTGTGCTATATTCGATCTAAATCGCGCAATACCTCGAAACAAACACTCCCCGGAGTCTCACTCAATCAAAATCCCGAATAATCTTACGTATCCGTCATCGTTCACTGTCCTCAAGTCCTGTAATCGTACATCGTCCTCGATCCTTTCTTTTCCCTGGATCAATTTTTACAGCTCGCACATCATAGGACGTCTCACTCAACACGCCATCTTACAACTTCGTCCATACACAGTCAAGAAAATAATTTTCATATGCTCAGTGACTATGAAGTTCCATTTGCTTCGATGTTAATTTTTGTTCTTATGTTTATTTTTGTTACTATTTATGATTTATTTTATTTCTAAAAACTGGCATAATAATGGAACAAAAAAGGGATTCACTGATGGAACCAACTTATTATACTAGTGGACTTCAATCATTAATTAATTATATTGAATAATTATACTAGTGGACTAAGAAATCAATTTGAAGGCCGTTATCGATGATATTCTCCTAGAGCACAACCGCGATAGATAATAATAATAATAATAAAACGTAACAGTAGCGTGAATTCACTTCACTACTTCATACTGCGTGTTACTGTCAATGAGGAACACAACTCTATGTTTCAATTCTGATCAGTACGGCATTATAGGCTTATTTATGGAGCTGGAGTGACCGACTGAGTGTTGGGTCACAATACATCATGCCGAGCGATGGCTTTTAAATCACCCTAATCATGCATCTCGGCAGCCGACGACATGATAAGAAGTAAATCACCTTATGCCTCACTCACGCACAACCTTTGATTTGCATCTTAACATTTGCGAGAGGGAAAAATGGGCGTCGAGTGGGGGACGAACTTAGCCAGCTTTATGTCTCAAAGGTCATACTCATTATTGAAATCTGACTCGGCACTTCTCGTGATCGCGCAAAGAAGAACTGACATCTGAAAGTATTGTTGCCTTCCAATTTCAATTCTTCCGCCCTGCACAGACTTTTCGTATAACACACATTTTTGAAGGAAATAAATTGAATACGATGCTGAAACTGAATTTAGATTTCAGAAATGAATTTTTTCTTATGTTCTAAAGACGCTTAATGGAAGTTTATTGAGACATAATTCAGTTATTATAGCATTCTTCAAATTCCTAAAAGTCAAGAAATTTATAAATTTATTATAACACCATTCATTTCTCGAAGGAAACGTTGTATAACACTGTTCGTTGTACGATACCAAAACACGTAGTAAAGAGATAAACATCTGTACATTCGCAAGAATGTTCTCATTAGGTTGTAGGAAATGTCATGCTAGCTTTACTCAAAACACGATGGTGTTTCTAAATCCACTCAAAACATGCGAAGCAGTCGAAACATCGGTGATTATTTAATTACCAAGAAATAAGTTTTTCAGTGAAATCTGATTATAATGTTGATGACATACATATTTATTTTTTTAGGGAAATCCGTGTCAACATCCTATTGTGATCCTGAACGAGATCCGGTTCCGTGAGTTGGCCCCACTGCTTCAGTACATCTACTGCGGTGAAGTTGAGGTCCCGAGGAACTTGGTACCCGAGTTTCTGAAGACTGCAAAGTACCTTCAGGTTCGCGGGCTGCAATCTGAAGTGGACGACTCAGTTGTCATCAATACAACCGACGATAGCGAGAAAGAAATGAAGATTAAAAGTCCTTCTCCAGTGCCCACCAAGGAGGAACCCACTGTGGACCAGACTGTGGTTGTCACGTCAACCCAGTCTCCAATCGTCCAGTCGCCCTCCATCGAAGCCTCTACATCGATACCACCTTCCAATGAGCCTAGAAAAAATCAGGAAACCACTACGGGATCAATCAGAATCACCCCAAAAAGCCCCCCTCCTAAAAAGTTATGTGAAGATGCAAAGGCATCCAACTCAGTACCGTCAAGCCCTGTTCACAAGAAGCCGAAACTTTCGCTAAGCCATTCCGTTTACGACAACTCACCTTCTCCTGGTCCTCGAATGACACCGCCTAACTTACTGAACCACCCTTTGGCATCTGCCCTCAAAACTACGCTTCCTCCCCATGGCTTGCCTCCGCTTCCGGGAGTACCGATGCCTCCGATGCCCATACCTCCCCCTAGTTTCTCGTCACATACATTGCCATCAGCATCTGCAGCCCAAGTCTTTAGCCAACACATGTCGCAGCAGATGTCTCATCACTTCTCCCAGCAGATGTCGCATCACATGAGTCACCAGTTGTCTCACCATATGTCCCAACAAATGTCTCAACACATGTCCCAGCAAATGTCACATCAGTTGTCTCAACAAATGTCGCACCAAATGAACCAGCAGTTGTCCCAGCACCTACCACAGGTTCCGATGGACGACGCAAGCGACACGTGCGCATCAGACAAGTCTGAGGACCGCAGCCACTCTAGACCTGACCAAGATGGCGACGAAGAAATGGACGGAAATTCACTGGAAAAAATGTCAGGGCTTGCTAATATGGCAGCTCTGAAAGGTGAGCATTGCAATATTTGAATATCATACAGCCATTTTAAAATTTTTAACATCCATAACTTCAAAACTTGACGCAACTAAAGTTCTAAGGCATATATTTGTTCCTTCACATAACAACCTTTCATTTATTTTTCCTTTTATTGTCAAAACTGCCAGTGAAAAGAGGTTATTTGTTTGAACATCGATATCAAAAATAATTTTCCACTACTTTTAAGACTATACACGAGTTCCATTGCTGACGGTGAATCACGATAGCAATATAACAGCCCCTAGCATGTCCGTCAGTACGAGAGACTTCTCTTTCCAGGCTTGGGCGGCTTCCCAGGCCCGTCAGGCCTCATGGGCTTACCAGGCATCGGCGCCTCCCCACATCCTGACTCCAGCCCCGGTAAGCGCGTCGTCTGTTATGTTCCTCTTGCGTCTTGCAGCTCAACTCGCCTCGTTACTCTCAGCAAACGTTTCTATAAATCAACAGAGGTGTCATCCTATCGTATCTCAACATAATATTCATCCTCGTCAGATGAGTGAATCTTAAACTGAAATCTTGAAGTTTCAAGTTAACTTTCAAACTGATATATTAATGCTTATGTGCTGAAGCAAATAGATGACAGATACAATAATAACTACGCGTAATTTTCAAGATTTCATTGAATTAAATTTTTTTCAGATATCGAGTCTTTGAATTCATATATAGAATAAACTTTATCTCATTCTATTACCATATTTCACTTTGCGTAGAGTTTTGGGGCATTTGAACTGCACATTTTTCTAAATTCTTTGTCCGATTTCAATCCATTGAATTGTCGTCGGTTATGCGTATTTGAACCGATTAAATCTTCTTCGTCTGGATTTATAAAATAAAAGAAATCTGTTGAGCTGGGTCCCTCAAATTGTTCAGCAAAGCTCAAAGAACTTTTGAACGAGAATAAAAATGTATCGTAAGTTCTGGACAAATAATAAAATAAATCCAAACGAACAAGATATTTTTGTAACTTTTAAATATGATAAAGTTTGCTGTATTTTTATCCATCTTGGTCCATGGTTTGATCCACCATCTCAAGTGTGTCATTTTGAACCTCTTTCAATTTTTCGTGTGTGTCCAACTTACGACTGCATGCTTATCCACAGCAATAAGCATGAAATTTTTGATAAATCTCTGTGTTTTCTAAGAAATTTCTGGCTCATGTTTTGATATCTTTATTAATTATTTGCTCGTTGCTGCAGAGAATTTACAGAGCTTCGTGTATACGGAGGATTATTATAGGCTCGCCTTTACTGTTCATGACAGCGTTCCGCAACGAAGTGAATTTCTCACTCCGAAATTTAAAGTAAAAACATCAGTAAATAATGCGTTAATTGTTTGCGCATAAATTCCTGGAAATGCCTTAGCTTCACAGTGCACTATCAACTTCAAAGCCATACTCGTAAATTTGTTTCTGACCTGAAAGGCTTTGTCATTTGGCTGATGCTAATACATAACGATTTACATAGGTATACATAAGTATACTTAAGTGTACGACAACCACGAGAGTTCATTCGGGAGTGTCATCGTGCTTCGTTTTGTATGCACGATTTAATGGATAAAATTTGTTCTTATTTTCAAATCAAACAACAGTCGATTATTAAATGGATCTTCAGATGCTGAATTCGGTTATCAATTTTATATTCTTTAATTACGCCAAAAAATATTATTCATACGAACATGGGCTTAAGATGTACCTCGACGAAAGCAAATCAACATCGCAGAAATTGTTCGTTTTTAGAAAATTTCAAGCGCTGCAGGCGAGTCCTTGAAGGTAAGTACTTTCCTTGTTTCCACTGAATTGTTTTCAATTATTTCACTTTTTCTTGATTATAATTGCATTTCAGTATTTAATATATACGTCTTTGATGAAAAATATTCGGCTAAAGCAGTTAAATAGGTCTTAAATTTAGTCTTTCTTTCAATAATTTTTCAATATATTTTGACGATCATGAGCGAATTATGGCTGATTTTTATATATTCAAATTCATTCCCCTCAGTCTTTTATTTATTTGTGCAAGTAATCACGGGCTATTTCAGGAATTAAAATTTGAAGTTGCTTCGAATTATTATCGTCAGTAAAAGAAAATCATTAATTGCAGTTATAGCGAATACGAATTTATTCACATAAATTGCCATCTCCTACAAGTTTTCAGTAATCATTACGATTAAAATCGTGTTTTCAAAAATATCGTCTTCTCGTTTCGCATAAAGAATATCACTGAGCGAATCGGGATCAGCCTGTGAAATGAACTATGGTGTTCATCATTCATTGTTCTGCTTCTACGAATCTAAATTTTTAAATGTTTTTCTCTCTGCAATTTCGATGTCGTTTTGTTTGCTGCATGTTTCCAGGATATTTTTGCTCCACTCACATTTTTTCTCTTTTTGTCCTTGGCTTTTTTAACTTAAGCATGAAAAATATTGTGATAAGTTGAAATATTGATGACAATATAATATGTATAAATAATATTCGTAAAATATCTTTCTGTAATCGAAAGGTCAGAAATTCATGTCTTTTCCTTCTTTTCAGAGCTCGTCAGATCCGCTATTTCCTGGGACTGTTTTAACTGCTCTCCGTCCTAACGAGGACTTCTTTAAAAAAACGGAATACTTCGATTTATTATTGCATTATAAAATAATTAACTTTGGAATCGAGCTGCCCCAGAACCCGTAACTCGAAAGTAAACATTATTATCGAAGAAAATATTTTTATGACGACTCGACTCGTCGCATAAAAATTACAAAGTATTTATCAACCACAGAAATCAATATTAAGAAAATACATGGATTGGAAAATGAAAAGATTATACAAATAGTTCATGACTTGAAGGTTTAAGGACACCCTGTATTCAAAAAATAATTAATTCATCTAATCTTCTATACGTGACACTTAATTAAAAATTATAAATTCCCGTAATTAAATGAATTCCACATGATTTCATGTTGTATAGCTAAATTTACAAAGTTACAGGCGATATGGAAGATTGCCCGATTTCGCTCAATGAACAAAGCTATCTAATTTTCAATTGCAGAGAAAACTCCAAGCTTTAACCGGATTTTTTACCGTACTGATAGAATTTTCCCTCAATTCATACTTTTAAGAATATTTGAAGAAATATAAAACCAAAGAAGTATCCCATTTTTTCATTACCTAAAAACTTTATCAAAAGTTGTGATTTTCTTACACGCAATAAAGGAATTAATTTGGAGTATTTATGGTCCCTAAATTTCATATAATTAAAGTCTGGCATTTATCCGAAAAATTATTCAAAATTGCTCGGGATGGTTTTTGTAAAGAGCCAGTTACGCTCTTTATCCAATCATTCAACTCTGCTAAAAGAGTCTCATTAAAATTGTAAAAATATCTAAAATACTTCTTACGTGGATTATCTCAGGTCGCAGCTATTTCCAAATTAAACATCTACTCAACTACTCAGACTAATCAGTAATCACGCATTCATAATCCCTCAAACAAGAAACAAGTCATAATAATTAACTGCGAAATAAGTATTTGGGTAAACATCGATCGTGTGCGAATCGATTGATCAAAGCTCATCTGGTTTTCTCGGAGTGATTCATTGAGTAACTTGCTGAGAAAAGCGCCGGAGCGGAAAGGCTGCGTTGTGGTGCTGGCAAAGGTTGACATTAAGACGGTAATGCGTACAGTGAAGCACCAAATGGCGGCATCAATTGTGCATGGCCTCGGTTATGTTCAGTCCACGCCACATGAGCGCGCCCGCACCATCTGTACGTAGAAGGCACAAAAATCTCAACAATGAAAGGTCACGTTCCGAACGCAGTCGTGGATGCTCGTCTCGCCGTGAGTGTGGCTGAGGAAGACACTCTGTTCAGCGTGAGTGTGGCTGAGGAAGACACTCTGTTCAGTGTGAGTGTGGCTGAGGAAGACACTTTGTTCAGCGTGAGTGTGGCTGAGGAAGACACTCTGTTCAGCGTAAGTGTGGCTGAGGAAGACACTTTGTTCAGCGTGAGTGTGGCTGAGGAAGACACTCTGTTCAGCGTAAGTGTGGCTGAGGAAGACACTCTGTTCAGCGTGAGTGTGGCTGAGGAAGACACTTTGTTCAGCGTGAGTGTGGCTGAGAAAGAAGCTCGTCTCACCGTAGTTTGGCTACTCGCGAAGCTAATTTCACTGTTAGCGCGACTACTCTAACGTGATAAGCCCTGTATTGTACTTGTTGGCTTTACTCACATAATAAAGATATTTCCTTTCCTTTTATTTTTTGACATGACCTTCGATACAGTGGTAATTACGAGTACATGATCAATGTTATTTTTATTCAACACTGCTCGCTGATATGTATCTGCATAATTCATCTCATATGTGTCGATACAAAAACAGCATCAGGAAAATATACTCTGCTATATGATCAGATATGTGATAATTTTAGTATTTTTCCCCTTTGTATGAAATTTCTAATGTTATTTCACAAAATTTGTCGCTCAACAAAATTTTTCTTGGAAAACTGAAAAATTTATTGATTGACGTTTCAATATAAATAACAAAGTTTAGAAAAAAACTTTCGGGCATAGGTTTCAAATTTTCAATACATATTATTGATCTAATATATCTAATTATATAATTTATATTTAACGCTTGTTAGTGCCGTCAATACCATCAATAAAAAGTGTCCGGCAGGTGACTATAAGAACTGCACATGCAGGAAGCGTAAGAAAATGTCACCGCAGTCCTTAGAACTTTTGTTTTATTAACCTCTAATGCGTTACTCAAGAGGATGAATAAATCCGTCTCGTTAACTTTTATTAATGCATATTAATTTGTTTATATGAAACTTATTTAGCGAAAACTTCTATTCCATAAGCTTGACATTTTCAATAGATGTCTTACGAAAAATGTGAATATAATACTGTATTGAAGATAAAGTTTGCTACTTATCTAAAATTGCATTAAAATTGCATAGTGTGCATAAGGTAATGTTATTAATGCGTTTAGAGAGTGTCATGTTTAAAACATCGATATCAGCGTATTTCATCAGGACGGTAAGTAAATGTTAGACGATCAGAAGTTGCAGCGAGTGAGCTCATCAAAGTTGCTTCATACTCATCAATGTCTAGAGATCGTCTAGAGGTTAAATAATTCTTTCACAGTTCATTTATATTATATTTTAGAGTTTTTCATCCTAAGCTATTAGTTCGAGTCTGTTAGCTTATTTACAGAGAATATTAAAAACTTTTATCAGACTCTGTGCGCCTTCGTTGCCTACACAATGTATTGAATTTTTTAGTTAAGTTGGCTAAAATATAGCATTTCTGCGAATATATTAATTCCGGCGCAAGCTTTAATCACACAGCTCGATGCCACCGGCGTTTTATCTGCACAAGTCCTTTTTTAATTCTTAGTTACTCGAGAATGTTTAGTGACACAAATTCCCCAGCATTTAGCTGTATCCTAGTACCGCATACAGTATAATGCTGGTAATTTCGAACGACAAGAACCTGCTAATCCTCCAAGCGCGTCAGCGACGCCGCTTCTACTTGAGAAAAGTGATTATATTGAAATTTTGAAGTGCAAATTAATTTTGCATCTGTGTTTTGATGTCATGGCCTCTATCATGTTTGTTCGAAATAATTTATTTACCAATTAATTTTTTATTATTTTATATTATTCCTTGCAATACTTTCTTCTCATTAATCAATTTCTCTCACTTTCATTGTTTTGATTGTATCTTCTATGTTAGTTGAAGCTCATTGAGATTTGGCAGTCATTTCATTTTTGCAAAACTTCTATTGATTTGTCCTAACTTTTAGCTCTTCTTCGGTTACCGTCATTGTTGGTGATATTTATTCATTTATTTTCCGATTCCCTCACCTTCCACTCATCGTTAATTATTCATTTTGGTGGAATAACTTAATTTTTTTCTTTTAATCAATTTTCTCGCATCATTTTGTGTTGGGTTTACATTTCTCTTATTAATTTTGATTCACCAAACACTCACCTTATACATGTATTTCAGGCCGCCCCCGCTTTGACTTCTACCGCGTACGAGCCACAGATCCTCGACCCTGCCAGCTCTGTGGCAAGATCTACAAGAACGCGCACACTTTGCGCACTCACATGGAAGACAAGCACTCCAACTGCAACGGCTTCCGCTGCGTTCTGTGTGGCACAGTCGCCAAAAGCCGGAACTCCCTCCACTCACATATGAGTCGTCAGCACAGAGGCATTAGTACCAAGGACCTGCCTTTGCTTCCCATGCCTTCTCCATGGAGCCCAGAGATCGCTTCGAAATACATCCATATTGTGGGCGGCGTTGGTGAAGTTGTACGGCAGAATTACCGCAGGCCTGACCGTGAGAGGGTGGATGGGTCGGACGGTAACAGCAGATCAGCTTCTTCCTACCACGAAAACGGAGCCTTGTCACCGTTCATCAAGTCCGACGACATGAAGGACTCGCGTGGGTTTGACCCCATAGGACGACAGTTCGACATGGGGGGATATGGAGGAATTAAACCGCCGATCCCCCCATCCCTGCTCGATACATACCTCCAGATGGTCCGTGCTACAGGTGGGGACTTCATGCCTCCCGGGATGATGGGTGGAAGACCTACATCTGTTCTTGACTTGACGAGAGCCACGTCGCCTAATCGTATGGACGATGACGAGACGCGAGCGTCAGATAACTACACTGACGATGACAGCGGAGGGATGGACGAGAAACAGAATGGCAACAGTAGGCGTCCTTCTGTGGCAACAGGCGCACGTTCGCCGGCATCGGATGAAAACGAAGGCAGCAAATGGCAACTGCATTAGGACCTGCAACGCACTTTGCTTGGTATTTTAGTCCCTGTACCTGCGCCTATCGCTAGTGTCTTAGATTTGTCCACAATTCGATTCATTTCGCGCTTTAGTGGCTTCTTGCATCCTTTACGTAAAAGTCCTTACGTAAAAGTCCTACTGTCGCATCAACGTAAAAGTCCTTCATCTCACTTAATATGTGTCCAGGATCAATTACAACGTTGTCTCACTTCATAATTCAGGAACGAATTTGTCGCGTGTTCAGAACATAGGTAATGAATTAAACAACTTTATTTATGTTTTATCTATTGTGCTTGTCCCTTCTTGCTAACTTAATTCCGTGAATTAGACAACGTAATTTCAGGTAATATGCAAAGATTCAGCTACAAGTAGAAATTCTAGAATCAATTTAATGGTCACAATATTTATCTACCATACTTTCAATGGTTGTTTATTCTGTATGAAGTTAAATTCAAGTTTTTTGCTATTCACGTCGTCGTTGATCGTCCTGTTGTGTAAACTCTCCGTCCATTCCACGTCCCTTGCTCCTACCTATTTATGTCCCTCCCAAATGTCTGTGACTCTCTCAATGAAATTATTTTTCAAATAACCTCTAAAAATATAAGACTTTTTGTATGTATTGTGAAGATCCATCTCAAGAACAGTCATAAATTTTAACTCAATTATTCAACCTCAATAATTAATTTTTTGTTTCAACTATAATCAGTTGTGCTCTGCGTGAAAACATGACTGGCGATAAATGAAAGGTAATAGTACTCTTAAGTTACTCATAAATTTCTAATTTATGTGCCTAGAGCTACCGGACCTGCATTATAGATTTAATTTTGTAATCTTAAGACCTCACTATGATGTAGGCCGTGTTTGGCATCGTACAATAATGCCAGATTTGATAGCGATACAATGTGGTAAGCTCTAGGCCAGCGCGCTATTGTAAGTCTCTGGCCATCGTTAACTGTAGAGTGCCTATGTTAAGTTAGGGTAGCACTGTTGCTAGCATTGAAACGTACATAACTACATCTACAATATTGCATATAACGCAACTCCAGGGTTTGCCTTCCATTTTTTATGAAATTATCTTTAATACTTTTGATGCTTAGGGAACAGCATATACCATATTTAACAATTCCATGTGAGAAAAATTTGGTCAACAAAACCCCACCATATACCTTCATTGGCTGATCACATGAACAAAGACCACAAAGTTTGTGCTGAGACAATGCACCAAAAGTTGATGTAAAAGGTAAACAAATAACTCATTCCCCAATAACTAATCTTACTTCATCGTTACAACTACGTTTCATGTACTAACCGCCATCATTCATTTCTTTCTCGGCGAATATATTCTTCTCACTCATTCCGTATTGTCCGTATATACAAATTATACACAGAAGGCAAGCCCTGGATAACGTTGATTGTAATGCACCGCAGCTCGTTTCGTCGGAAAAATCTTCAAATTTTTATTTTCAGTGTCACGGGAACACTTGTTACTTAACAGCAGCGCTGTCGCTTTTGTGGTGACTTATTGAAGTGAATACTTGTTTTCCAGCCGTAACTCCGTACGTTTTCTTTGCATTGAAAACACAATAAATAATAAAATTTATTTTCATTCCGGAGACCACACGATTTTTTTTCTGAAACTTGGAACATTATTCAAAGTGAAATTTGTGAAGGGATTTGTATGAAATAATACTGTTGGTAATTAATTTCAAGATTATTGTTTTATTAGTAAAGAAATTGTAAATTAATTTCTACGCTGTTTAGAAAATATGAAGATTTTTTCCGGCTGCATGGGTGTGGCGGTTGAGTTTGTGCACTATCCGAATTATGTACAGAGAGAACGGTTGTGAATTTCGTCCGTTGAATTGAGTTCATGGTTGTATTTATGATAATTAGTGAATAAGAATCGCGCACTTCATTGCCTCTAGGATACCTGAACGCTTCAACACCGATGGCTGCATAGATGTTCCCATCTGAGATTTGTTCTGCCTGCAGTATAGTGTTGTGTTGAGGCTTCGTGCTCGTCACTCGACAAGTTTCTGAGAGAGAATTTTTTTTAAGAATTCATCTTTAGCAGCAATATTTATAACGTCGCATTCATTGTACGTGCATGTGATTACAAATTCGCTTCGTTCAAGTCGCGCAAATTCAACAAAGATGGAGAAGCTTACTCCCTCTGTTTTCGGTTTGTTTTTAAAAATGTGCAGGTTAAAAAAGAAGCTTTCCTGCTGGAAGCTAAAACTTGAGTTTAAGCGATAGAATTTACACCAAAACTAAAATATTTCATTTGATCATTTTGTCTCTTGCAGTTAGACTAAGATGCCATTTTGTTATCGATAGTGTTTGCCTAGACATAAATTTGCAATAGCCACTTTACAACAATAGCCATTTAAAAAGAAAACCGTCAGTATTGAAACCTTGCTATTTACAAATAATTTTAGCCTTCACCTGGTTACTGTTACTTCATCTGACCTTCAATGTTTCCTTTACAGTAGCCTCAGAATAATTGGAGTTATTCGACATGCAAATGACGTTACTTCTGGGTAAATTTAAAAGTTGTGTATATCGAACAATAAATTTAGCGCCGGAAAAGCTGATTACAAATGTCATTAACGGATCGTGATTGATCGTCTGGAAAATCAATGAGCCATGGCTCCACTATTTTATTAAGTGTGAAGTGACCTTGTCAAGATCCTCGGATTAAAATGAAAGTGTGTCAGCTTAGATTTTCAGTTCACCGTATGAATGCCCGTCATTTGTCATTTGAATGCCGTATGACTCCACTCCTTATCTATACTCCTGTTATTCATCCACTGCGTAAGCAGTGGCTAATTCGTTGTTAATCCTGATCCTGTTGCTCTGATCCTGTTGCTGTTCATTTCCAGTTTCCATAGCTGATTATTCAATAGACTTTACTATGCCGGATTAGATATCAACCCCATTTGTGGCAGGATTTTTATTTCAGAAATATTATTATTGAAATCCTTTTGGCTACTTTTAAAATATATATATAATTATATAATTATAATTTTTTACCAAATTATAATTTCCAAGTCTATCTAATGATTGCTAAAATTATTTTATTATTAAAAATTGAGCGTTGAGATAATTTTTCATAAACAAAATAGCTATTTAATGTTTACTAAATTTGTTTTAGTATTATAAATTGAGCATTGAGATAATTTTTCATGATCAAAAGAGCTACTCTTGATGCAAATAATTTTACATTAAACAGCCTCCTGCCAATAGGGTTGTGTTTACCCAACTCTCTGTGATCTCAATAGTTTGTGCTACTCACTCGTTACTCACAAGATAATCTATGCTGTTCCAATCTTACCTATGCTACTATCACTCCTGTTATACCAGAAATACAAGTACTGGTGAATCTATTCAACTGCAACTGTTACTGATCCTGTTAATCCATTTATATTGTAATAGCTTGGACGAGTTCTCATTTATTACCAATGTACATTCATAAGTGAAATTGGTGTTCTCATCGTTAATAGTTTCTCGTACGTTTCAAAATGTTGATTCGAATTTGAAAATTTCAGAGCCGCGTCGTATTTCTGAATTTCTAATAGAAATTATATTTTTGTGACATAGTTATTCAGACAAAACGTTCATTTGACTATGCATTGTAAACTTGTCAAGCCAATCTTGCCGCCAATTTTTAGCCGTAGCCATAACAGAGTAATAGCCACAATTAGCAATAGTCAATACCTGACCATAGTTATAACCTAGCAATAGTCATTCAGTATGATAGCCGTGAACCACTGCTTGTGATATAACATTTAGTGTCCGCCGATCACTTTTACTAATGCCATATTGATTACTTTGCCTCATCTATTGTATTCCTGCCATAGTATTGTAGAGCTAAGATTTATCCCTTGCAAAGATATTACATTGCAGTCCTGCAACTCAGTCAGGGGAAGAAATATTGGGTATGATATATAATCTCTTGGGTCTTAGCCACGCATGTATGTTTTAATTTGCTTCAGTCCAAGCCGTTACGGAGCTATCACCCCTTGCTTTCTTGATGTCTTCATTGACCGATTGCTTAACTTAAGTTTCTTACGCCGAAAGTTGCCACAGATATTTGAGTCATCAAGTAAAATCATCAAATAGGTCTGGTTACCGGATGAAATTTTTATAAGGCCCTTTAATTATCAGTGAAACTTGCGGCATATCCATTTGATCTCTTGGATAATAATAATTCGTAATTCTTTATCTTAGTTACTTATCTAATTTAATCCAAACGGGAATCGCTATAAATATTACCACTCAAAATATACGTTAACCCTGAATGCATTCATGCTGTTATATGCGAAGTTAATGTTCACCTTGAGTCGAATGTTCACGGCCACTTTACTCTGACTGGAAGCTGCGCGTGATAGTCTCATATATAACAGTGCTATTTATGCTTCGTCATTACTTACGTTGATAGGCTTAAGGCATCTTCTGTCATAGAGTTTCTGCTGCGTTTCAGAACTACGTAAATTATTTTTTCCTCTCATAGAATTCTACTACAGCTATATGGTATCTGGGCAAGTCTTGACTATTCAAAATTACTTTTCAATTCAATGAGTTGCTTACAGTGCCCACGGTCAATGAGTAGCATTGAGGAACCAAATATCATGTAAACTTGAACTGAGTCCGTAAAGAATCGAGTTTCTCAGATCGGCACTCCATTCGAATTGATCGCATTTTGTAGGTGAGAATGTTTTCGATAAATTCTGAAAAACGTACATGATAGTAACTGATATGATGGAGGAAGGTTGAAGGTCCACATATAGGGGACTTTGTCAAGCGCTTGTGTTTGTCTTTATTTAGGCACAGCTCACAAACAAACGTTTAAGCGTTCTAACAACGATAATCTCGATGTGTAGTGCAGCTACGAAAGCAGGTAATTAGTAAATAATGTTAATAATTTGTTATGCACCACAATCTTCCCGAATTCAGTCTTCATTCCAAAGATTTTGCCAGTAATCTTAAAAGAAATCTAAGTGAGTTGTCTTTAAATTTTACATCATCTGGAGCCATGCTATGTACCGCATGTTACAGTGCTAAAAGGACTAATTAACTATAATTGCGCTTCTATAAGGGATATTTCCTCTCAATATTGATGTTTTGGTTAGATGTACCAATACGGTATTTACTTGTAAAAATTGCCACATTTTTCGATGATTGACAATCTCTATTGACTTTCCGATGATTGACTAGAAACAAATTAATCACAGAATGAGATTGAAATTATACGATCTAGCGGTACAGCTCCATTATTTTGAAACAACTTTCCACTTGAGGGCAATTTACTTGGAATGAGTATAGTCTTCGGAAAGATTGTTAATATTAGAGAATTAGTTATAAGTCACCTCACTTTACCGATGTACAGAGCCCTTAAGCAAGCCATCCTCTAGTTGTTGACGTTGATGTTAATCATGTACAATTCTCACGCCTCTCACTGTGATATCAATGTCCATGCATCTTTCCCTAAAATTGTGACTTCAAAGTCATGGTTCTTATTACGTTTAAAATCAAGCCAAACATTTCAGGATGAGCCCTCATTTCAGCCTGTCGCTGGCATTCATTTGTGTATTTCCATAAAAAATATCGTCATAAATAATCCAAGATGCTGCTAATTTTGCAGGCATACGTACTCGACAGCAAATTTTTTCATTGTTAAGAATTCATTCGCCGCATCATTTTAGACGCATTGGGACAATGATGTTTTTGCTTATCTGGTGGTGCTGCTGCTGTATTGACATCAGCAAGGCTATGGCCATAACTTTCGAACAATAAACTTTTTTAGTATCACAGCCCTCATGAGCCGGCATGGTCACTTATATTGTAGCCATTATCAGCGCATCTGAGGAGATCATGGCCATTATGAAGTGGATTTCTTCCAAAGAGATCATTGATGTTTAATTCAACTTTTCACAGTCTACAAGATGTAGATCTGAATTATATAAATGATTATGATTATTTTTAAAGCAGTATTCTAATTTTCAATGAAGCTCACCGTTTTGAAAGATATTTTTTACAAGTTGAAACATTTCACTATGCATTTCAATTTGAAACATTCTACCTAACCAGTTAGTTCGAAATCATAAGCAGGAACAGGTATTGGTGAACGTCAGTTGAGAGACGTTGGTAAATAATGTAATATATGTAATGAAATCATGAGTAGATCTTCTGAAGCTGAGTAGTTTTGTATGATCAGTGCTTCCACAAAATAAAAAATCTTCAAAAAATTTCGTGATGTCATTAACCCAAACCTTCAAAAAAATATTGCCAAAAATGCAGAACAGAACCCCGAAAGCCTTCTTTTTGTACGTCAACTCGAAGTACAAGATAACGGACGGTATTTCTGATTTGAAAGTAGATCAACGAAAGATATCCTCTGATGAGAGCAAGGCTAACGTCCTTATACAGTTTTTTATTAGCGTATTCATTGATGAGGACTAGAACAGTATTCCAGCAATTGAGGAGCGCCCAGTCGGATCTAAATTAACAAGTTTTGAAATACATATAGAAGTGGTTCTCAAGCGCCTGATCGCAGTAAATCCAAACAAGCCATGTGGACCGGACGGCTTCCACCCCAGATTACTCAAAGAGTTAGCAACTGTCGTCACCGGCCTTTTGACGTAATTTTTTTGAAAAACTTTGAACGAAGGGATCTTGCCGGCTGACTGGATAGAAGCTCAAGTGGACACCATTGCTCAAAATAGGTGACAAAAGCTGCCCGGGCAACTATCGCCCTGTCAGTTTGACTAGTGACGTTTGCAAGGTAATGGAATCTGCTGTAAGGGAACGATTGGTCGATCATATGACTGTTAATAATCTCCTATCAGACTGTCAACATGGCTTTATTACCGGTAGATCCTGCACCACTAACCTATTGCTCTTGTCTACTCTGAATGAATGGACCCGCCTGCTGGACGAACGGGAGCCAGTATAGCCAGTAGATGCAGTGTACATCGATTTAGCTCGGGCCTGTTTTATTCGTTGCGTTTATAAACTATCAGCCAGGAGCTGTGTCTAGCTGCTAGCGTGTGCTCGATGTATGCTGACGACACAAAAGTTTATAATACAGTGAAGAATACGTCGCAAAAAGTAGTTGCAAGGTGATCTTGACACGTTGGTTGACTGGGCTGACAAGTGGCTGCTGCGTTTTAACGCTGACAAACAGTATGAGAAGACACGGTTGCAACGACAGAGTGATGTAGTCGAAGTCAACAATGGGAAAAGATTTAGGAGTAAATGTCAACAATGAGTTGAAATTTTCTAAGCATATTGAAGCTCAAGTTGATATAGCCAATAAATTACTTGGACTGATCAGACGCTCTTACGAGTACACAGATGTTGAAGCGATGAAACTGTCGTTTGTCGCTGTCGTGCGTCCGAACCTAGTTTGGAAACGTCGTGTGGTTACCGAAACTTGAAAAGGACAAAAATTTAGTCAAGAGTGCTCAAAGACGTGCACTCCGGGAGGATAATTCCGGGATTGAAAAGCTAGAATATGAAGAAAGGTTAAAGATTATGAAGCTTTCAAGCCTCTGTTATCGACGTCTGCGTGCTGACCTCATTGAAGTGTACATGTATACCCACGGTTTATTCAAGGTCTCAGAAGGATTACTAGAATTTGAAACAAGAACCGACATCAGGGGCCACGGCCAGAAACTAAAAAAACTGCGTTGTAACACATCCATGCGACAACATTTCTTCTCGCTTCGATTCACCGACATGTGGAACAGCCTCCCTGATAGCATCGTTGACGCTCCGAGTATGAACGCCTTCAAGAACAGACTAGACGAAGCTATGCAGGAGCATATGTTCAGTCTTAAATGCCTAGCACCTTACGGGCCTTGCAATAAGTCCAGCAGCTATCTCAATCAATCGTCAGCTATTAAAAAGATCGGTTTCAAAAGGCCAGATACCTTGTGAATCAAGGCACGAAAAGCACACGAATCGGCAACAGGCCATGGGCCTATTTCTTCAGTGCCGGCACTTCTATTCTATTCTATTCTATGTTAGGAAATTCAAACAAAAGATTTATTTTTTAGCCAATTCATCTTTTAGAAACAATTTATTACATCTATTCTTTATAGTTAATTGGCAGATTATTGTAATATTGATAGACTGCCGAGTTTACTACACACTATACAACTTTTCCGAAAGAAAGTGGCTGCAAATCTTGATTTTGAAGCATGTCCAAAAATTGTTTCTCCTCCTCAAAACCATTCAAACTGATATTGGTCGTGATATGGAAACTTTACGTGACATACAGAAACTTTACGCAATTTCGTTTAATATGAAACAATTAGAGTCCAAAATAAAGTTATATTCAAGAATAAAACCCCCGTATATTTCAATTTAAAAATCAAAATTTATTCTAACACCTCACGGAAAGATTTATTAATACTATAAACAGTATACTCTCGTTACATTAAGCATATTTAATCATTGCTAGACGCATCTACACATTTGGACGTTATACATTTCTATACGTCAGACGTAATCTTATGCATGATAAACATTAGTATCACAGATAACATATTTATTTTAATAACTATAAATTATTTATTACAAGATTCTATATGCAGTAAAATTAAGCACTTTCAAATTATTATAAAAGCTATGATCATGGCATGGCTATGGCACATTTCAATGCCTTCAGAATATACATTATATTCACACTATATTAACGTTATTGTTCACAACCCGGAACTGCACATGAACATGGACGAATAAAGCTTAGCAATATAATGCAAAGTTCGTTGAGGCAGACATCACGAATAAAATGAAACAATCGATTTTTTGCAATCATGAACATGAGTAGATAAAGATTGAATTAAACAAAGAAGAAGTTATACAGTCAGGATTCCGTGTTCGTCGGAAGGCAACTCGGACCAATAGGCTTTAAAAAGCCTTATTATAATTGGCAAGAGTGATAAGAATCCCAACAAATTTCGCACTAATTGAGACATGAGTCAAATAGAGATTGAATTGAAGTAAAATAGAGATGCTAAGTCTAATACTAATGCTGAAAATCCGTAAAATATGTCATAGAATGAAAAAAATGAGGCACCGTGGTCATCAGACTAGAAGAATGTATTAAAAGCATAACAATCAAAACGAATTTGAATCGTAAGTAAAATATGCGAGATATAAAATTCGCGAGCTAATTTCTTCACAGAGTGACACAGCTTATAAATAAGGTTAACAACGGACGCAATTTGATTTTCCAGGCGCATTTGGAATCACAGAATTCATCTCATAATGAACTCTGAAGAAATGAATATTTGCAAGGAGGAGGACTTTTAAAATAATAATGAATCTTTCACGCACTTTGCCCGCTAAGTTCTAAAGCGACCCAAATAATGTGTTCGTTTCTCTCACGCGTCACGAGGCAGATAATGTGAGGGCACCGCAGGCCGGTCCCTCACGCGTCGTGTGGCAGAGAATGTGAGGGCACCGCAGGCCGGTCCCTCACGCGTCGTGTGGCAGAGAATGTGAGGGCACCGCAGGCCGGTCCCTCACGCGTCGTGTGGCAGAGAATGTGAGGGCACCGCAGGCCGGTCCCTCACGCGTCGTGTGGCAGAGAATGTGAGGGCACCGCAGGCCGGTCCCTCACGCGTCGTGTGGCAGAGAATGTGAGGGCACCGCAGGCCGGTCCCTCACGCGTCGTGTGGCAGAGAATGTGAGGGCACCGCAGGCCGGTCCTTCACGCATCGTGAGGCAGAGACTGTGAGGGCACCGCAGGCCGGTCCCTCACGCATCGTGAGGCAGAGACTGTGAGGGCACCGCAGGCCGGTCCTCACGCGTCGTGAGGCAGGGAATGTGAGGGCACCGCCAGCCTGTTCTTGTCCCGCCTCGTGGTGCGCCGGTGCGTGCAGGGCGACGCGTCCCTCACGACGCTCGTCTCTGCCGACGCGGACTCTTGGCCCCCGCGCCGAGTCCCGCCGCGTCGGGCGACCGTCGTGCCTGGGGGTGGGAGGTGGTCAAGAAAAGAGGAGGTGAAGTGTAGTCAAGAAGGAAGAGGGGTATGATTTGGTTAAGAAGAGAGGGGGTGAAGTGTAGTCAAGAAGGAAGAGGGGTGTGATTTGGTTAAGAAGAGAGGGGGTGAAGTGTAGTCAAGAAGGAAGAGGGGTGTGAATTGGTTAAGATGAGAGGGGGTGAAGTGTAGTCAAGGGGGTGTGATGTAGTCAAGAAAAGAAGAGTTAAGAGTAGTCAAGGGAGTGTGATGGAGTCAAGAAAAGTGGGGGTGAAGTGTAGTTAAGGGGAAAGAGGGGTGTGATGAGTAGTTAAGGGGAAAGGGGCGAAGAGTATATACTCGAGTGAGGGTGACTAGTACTCAATGTAAAGAATATGGCTCTTTGTTCAGGGGATTGTTCAGAATGAAAACTCGTTGTGGATTGTAACGGTTTCTGAAAACAAAGAATGAACAATTTGAACACAAAGTTGAGGTTATACGAAATTATAAACAATATAGAGAAAATATTCGAGGTTAACAAGCAATAAAATGATCATAACACAAGTATATGCTCACGTACCAAATTGCTGAACAATCTAGGTCAAGTGTGGTTAAAACTGAATTTTGCCCGAGCTCATCAACTCTGGTTCTACCTAAAAGGTCCCAACCTTATGTACACGGGAGAAGTATGTTCCGTAAAATTCTTACACTCAAGTAAGAATGAAGAGTACTCAAGGTGGATGAAGAGCACTTAAGGGAGTGACATGTAGCCAAGGAAAGGGTGATGTATTTTGACAGAGAAAAGGCAGATAAATGTCAAATGAACGAATAAATTAATATAAATGCAATTAATTGACAGAAAATTACTATTTGGTTGAGCTTACAGATGAAGAATAGAAATTTTCGCAGTCAATTGCGACAAATGTTTATTAGTTCGGAAGAGTTCAGAAACAATATTATGTATAATAGACTGATACCACCATGCAAAATTTAACCAAACTGAAAAAAATGGATTTATTGACAGTGACATATAATTGAAATTACCATTCACATTTTCGAACATCAAGAAAGATTAAAATCAGTACTCAAGTTTTTTAACATCCTTGATTTCATAGCTATCATCAATTTCAATTTATACCCCATGTTCGAGACTTCTAATCTACAGCCAGACTTCAATATTTTATAATCATTAAAACTAAACCAAATGCTGGTTTAGGTCTGCAGCTGCCTGGCCTGCAGGACGAATAATTTATTAATCTACTCTAATAACACAAATCTACTCCAGTTATAATAATCTACTTACACTAATTTATTCTAATCTACACCTTAGCCACACATCAATCTTTATCCAGCACTTAAGAAATAAATCAAATACTGAACACGACTGATTTCTCCTGGTTGTCTTCCGCCGCCTGGCCTGCAGGACGCACTAATCTACTCTAATGACACGAATTGTTATAATAATATACTTACACTAATCTATTCTAATCCACACTTTAGCTGCACATCAATTTTTATCCAACGCTTTATAAATAAATCAAATACTAAACACGACTGACTTCTCCTGGTTGTCTGCCGCCGCCTGCAGCCTGCAGTACGAACTAATCTGCTCTAATCACACTAATTGTTATAATAATCTACACACTAATCTACTCTGCAATCAAACATCAATCTTTATCCAACACTTCAGAAACAAATCCAATACTGAAGACGACTGACTTCTCCTGGTTGTCTGCCGCCGCCTGGCCTGCACGAGGCCGTACACGACGGCGGCTAGGCTGTTGTGGGCGCTCGGGTTGCGGGCGAAGGCAGGTTTGGTGCAGGGCCGGCGCCCCGTCACGTAGTATGTGTCCATCGAACCCTTGCCCTTAACTTCGATGCGGCCGCGGTGCTGCACTTTGAACCCTCTAAACTTCAGGATCTGGAGACGTTGCAAATTTTTAATTAGTAAATTTAGGTTATAACTGAATAATATGACATGTGCATGGTGGAAAATGGGTAGCTATAGGTTTTAACTTAGCAATAGATTTTTATTTACACGAAAATTTGCCATATTTGCACAGCGTAAGGAAATACCGAATGAACGAAACCAAGTTCAGGAACGAACAGAAATTTAAGTTTAAATCAGCATTAAAATTAGGATTTTGAGAATTTTTTTCAATCTACTCTGTTATAACAACGGGCCAAGTTTTTCTTTGAATGCTCTGTATAGGAAGTCGAATATCTTAGTGGTCTTACGTACCAAAAATACTAATATAATGGGAAATATATATGCTGAAAATTTTATTAGTTGACATTTATTTTAGCCACTCGTTGATGGATCGCCATTGACTGGAAATCTACGCTCGATCAGTTAGTGATCGTGCACTCATTTTTCAACATAAAACAAATTTAGCGACAAAGATTTGGTTCGTGATGCCTTGAAATGGTATGAAAATGTATCTTTGCTTTGCACACATGCGTTCAGATCAAAGATTTTTATTCTGGTTTTCGATATGAATATGTGCCATGGACCTGCCCAAAGTACCTGCGCAGTATACCAGTCCCCCGTACCTGTGCAGTGTACCAGTCCCCCGTACCTGTGCAGTGTACCAGTCCCCCGTACCTGTGCAGTGTACCAGTCCCCCGTACCTGTGCAGTGTACCAGTCCCCCGTACCTGTGCAGTGTACCAGTCCCCCGTACCTGTGCAGTGTACAGCCCCCCGTACCTGTGCAGTGTACCAGTCCCCTGTACCTGTGCAGTGTACCAGTCATCCGTACCTCTGCAGTGTACCAGCCCCTGTACCTGCGCAGTGTACCAGTCCTCCGTACCTGCGCAGTGTGCCGAGGTATCTGGATGGTATCGAAGGTACCAGTGGAGTCCATCCTAGAAGCCTCGTTGACTGTGTTGCCCCACACGTCGAAGACTGGCTTACGCGCACCGATCACCCCGCCCACTAGCGGTCCGTGGCTGATGCCTGGTGCGGTATCGGTATTCTTCACAAATCTCAACATAAATTCAATCATGAAAGATAAATTAAAAATTACATAAATATTTATTTAAAATAAAAGTTTTTCATTCTGCTTTTTGTTTTCCACTTGCGTTGGTTTAATAAGTTGCAAATGTTGGCTTAGTAGAAGAAAACTATTTTAAGAACTGAATGCGATCTTGAGAAATCATGAAATCGAAGCATGAAAAAGAAATTAATTTTTTCATAGCGAGCTATGAAAAAAATAATAATTTACAGCATACGCAAGCGGTTGAGTTGCAAAAACTTTTTTAATGAAGTCAAATTATACTCGGAAAATCGACTTACCGACTCTGAGGGAGAAGTTGTTGAACGAGTGTTTGTTTAGTTCCTGCAAACGTGTTCTCATCTCGAGGGCGAAGTCAACAAGAGCCGCCAAGTGAGCGTCCTCCTCTTGCTGCGTAGCAAATAATTAAATTAATGGAGATAATATAATACATTACTGGCATATTATAATGATAATATGCGTCATGTTGCGGCACAAAATTAAAGAGAGAAAACTCAACTAATAAAGATGATTGAATGTTTTATTTATCAGCTTCTCACGTACTGGCCCTCTTTTTGTCTTCACTACATGTGAAGAAAAAATGAAACAACATTTATTATCGTCCAAAATTGTAAACCCATAACATCATTAAGATCTTTTTTGCGATTCTACGAATGCACTTTTTTAATTTTCCTTGTCATTTTGTTGTCGCTACACTCAATAATAATTTACCAATTTTACCTTCCAGTTAAAACCAATATACTACTCACGAAAAAAAATTGTTGATTTATTAGCGATGCTATTTCGGCAGTAAATCCAAAATTTATTTATTTGAGAGACCTCAGTTTTCTTTTTCATCTAACGCTACATAAAAATTACACTGGCAGCCGATTAAAGGCCCCATATGGCCTAGTTGGCCACCCACCTGCTGGCAGGCGATTAAAGGCCTCATATGGCCTAGTCGGCCACTCACCTGCTGGCAGGCCTCTGGACTGAGGCCAGCTGCCGCCATGTACGTCGAGCCGATCGTCTTGATCTTCTCGACCTGCGAGAAGCGCTCCTCTTCCAGCAACTCGTCGAAGTCAACTGCGAGAAAATAAAAGAGCTATCGTCATAATAAACCAAAAAAATTGTTCACAGTGCTAAATCTAATGCGAGAAATATAGTTCATAAGTAAATCGCACACTTTTTATGATTAAGTTCACTGCCATAATGATTCATTTCCAATCTGAGTTATTTAATGACTATTTTTTAACTGTAAGTAACATTCCGTGTCTTTCAATCATCTACAAATCTCATAGATACAAATGGTTTAGTTTCTTCACCGCAACAAACATGAACAATATTCAATATATCGACGACTGAGTTTTAGTTTTTGTTAACACTTGGCGTTAATATTGTTCGTACCGAAGATCTCGTTGAGCAGCCTGATGCACTCGACGCCGCGGTTGACGTCCTCTGAGTAGAACTGCGTGAAGTTGGGGATGGAGGCGAACATCACCGCAACGTTGTCGTACGCTTGTGAGAACAACTCCTGGGGGTCACCATCAACACAAATTACACATTTTCAGGAGAATTTATTGCATAGAGAAGTTGTAGGTCAATTTTACACTACAAAAAAGTTGTAAGTCTGTCTTACGTCAGCAACTTAATTTAACTGGTGGAGCGTTAAATATATATTCCGCGTGTGAATTATAATACACAGTACCTACAGTAATTATCAGCCTCTTACCAGAAAACATCCAAATTAAACTTTTGAAGCAAATATATTAACAGATTTTAATGAATCATAAATAAAGTAGTAAATTTATAAATAGATTATGAACCGGAATCAATCAATTTGAAAAGCATTTATTTTCTTTGAATGGATCACTTATTGCATTGAAAGAAAAAAAAAATCGATGGCAAGAAAAGGCAATACAAAACAGGAATTGGCAATCAATTGGCACCCAAATTATATCCATTTCTTACATGACTCTTGCGGTGACTGGACAGGAAGTAAGTAGCGACGTGGTCAGGTAAGATGTTCCGCAGCAGCTGCGTGTTGTAGTGCCGACACTCTGCCATCTCCTCGAGCTCGCTGATCGCTGTCTCTTTCCAGACGAAGTCGAGACGTGACGCGATCTCGACAAGTCGTCCGTGGTACGAGACCAGCACCGCGAACAGCAGCAGTAAGATGAACAGCCGCGCTCGCATGGATGTACTGGCGACAACACCGCAACTTTTTGGCACTTATTTCTTAATAAAGCTGATCATTCTTTAGTGCTTCGTATTCTAGCGAAATTTGACGCCTTGAACCTACGATCAATTGAAGGCGAAAACGCTAGTTTCCAAAACTTGTTTGAAAGGTAATTTCAGGCACGAATTTGTGACTGAAAGTTACCAGATTGAAAAGTGAGCACAAGCGATAACATATATAAGGGACCACACACATAAACAAAATTGTAAATGTGAAAAATACAAAAGTACGAAATTTATATAGTAAAAACTCTACAGTTGAAAGTAGTTTTGTCAAATCAGTAATTAGAAAGCGAAAAAAAAGTAAGGCCTAAATAAAACAAAATGATTTTGTTGTTAAAAAACGCAGACTCACTCGACGTAGTCATCAGGGCCGAGGACGGTGTAGAGCAGCCCGATATGGGTGGCTACCATGACGCAAACTATGACTGTCTTAACGATGTACTTAAGCTTCAAGAACCCTCCCAGTATTATCATGCAGAGAACCCAAGTGTACACGACGTACTGGGGTTTCTGGCAGTGCAGAGGGAGACTAGAAATGTCCCTGAATTGGCCGGTTTTCATACCAGAAAACTCGTCATTCGAGCGACCAAGATTCAAGGTTTTCAACGGTGATTCTTGACTAGAAAATTTCTCAGCCGATGGTTCAGACAATGAAATGAATGGGTTCATTTTATTTTGAGGCTCAAGATCATCGTTTTGGATCTCAAGACTATCTTTACCATCGTCGTCAATGTCGTCTGACATTTCGGTGCTTTCTTCCGACGAATGTAATCTTGAAGGAGGGGCATACGGCGATGTGGCGCTTATAATATACGGAGCGGATATTATGTAGCTCAACTTGGACATTGTCTGTAGGGGGAAATATTTAGTATCTTGGCGCTTTTCTAAGCTCCTCTTCTGCTTTAGTATGATTTTTGGAAGATGCTTGTAATTATCTGGATAAAATGCTCGTCTTAACCTTATCAAAGAAGGACCAGGTTCCTTCAAATAATCTGAGTCGGTTTGTTCAAAACTATTTACATCGGCATCGTAAAGTGGCTCATGATCAAACGTAAAGTCATTCTCGGAGTCCGTTTTTCTTCGATCGAGAACAGAATTGCTTTGATTATAAATTTGGGGACCGGTTTCATTTTGAGAAGAAATACTGTGGTTATCCATCGAATTTGTGTCGTTCTCTGCGTACAGAAAATCTGAGAAATACTTAGCAAGAGAAACTTTTTCAGAGAGGAGACTATCTTCGAGAATCGGAGTTGTTGCGCTCTCATCGTTCTGCCTCTGATCGCACTTGTCGACAAGCAAAGCCTGCAAGTAAATCAATTTTGTTAGAAAATTTAATCGAAGATTTTTCAATGGAAATTAATCCAGAACAAATTAAAATTGTTATGATTCTGTAACTAACTAATTGCGAAAGACATAATATGCAATTTTTCGTCATAAAATATGTGGGATGCAAAATACTGGACTAAAATAAACTAAGCTTAAGATAGGCAGTGGAAAATCACAACAAATTTGCGTGACTAATTCCGGGAAAACACAATATATTACTCCTCAAATAACTTAGAACACTGTCCTCAACCATGACACAATATCTTCATCAGTGGCCCAAAAACTTTGAAAACATAATGCAAAAACGCCCGCCTCAGGGACAGTAACACCATCGGTGGCCAAAAAAAAACAGAGACAGTAACACCATCGGTGGCCGAAAAAACCAGAGACTGTAACCAGAGCTGGGCAGCGCTACTTGGAAATGTAGCGGCGCTACCGCTACCGCTACATGCTCTAAATGTAGCGGGCGCTACCGCTACCGCTACACCCACTAGATTGTAACGGGCGCTACCGCTACCGCTACAGTAAAATGTAGCGCGCTACATTAGCCGCTACAGTGGCCAAAATTATTGGAAATCTCTAAGTATTTATTGTTCTGCTAATGGGATTTACTCATTAACATTTAATGATAATAAAACATTTTGGAAACATATCAATGCAACTTTATTGCAATTAACCTAACCGAACTAGTATGGATTAACCCCAGGGTTAGATACAGTAATTGGAAGTTGTAGTTATTTTTATGTTTTACCTTCCCTACATGAATGTGAACTTTAATCTAACAATCTAAAAAATTATCCACATATACATATAAAAATCAGTCTTTTTTGTATATATATGTGGATTAGTTTTGAGATTGGAAGATTAAAGTAGACATCCATGTAGGGAAGGTGAAACATAAAAATAACTGTGTAAAAATAACTGTGAGCAAACTGAAAGATGAAAAAAACCTGTAAGTGGTAACTGGTAACAACTTAACAAGTAACAACTAACAAAAAACCTCGTATCGCTACTTAAATATGTAGCGGGCGCTACCGCTACCTCTACATTGCCTTAAATGTAGAGCCGCTACCGCTACCGCTACTGAAAATGTAGCGGCCGCTAGTAGCGGCCGCTAGTAGCGGCCGCTACATGTAGCGCGCTACTGCCCACCTCTGACTGTAACACCATCGGTGGCCAAAAAAAAACAGAGACAGTAACACCACCGGTGGCCGAAAAAAACAGAGACTGTAACACCATCGGTGGCCAAAAAGAACAGAGACAGTAACACCATCGGTGGCCGAAAAAACCAGAGACTGTAATACCATCGGTGGCCGAAAAAAAACAGAGACTGTAACACCATCTGTGGTCAAAAAAAAACCAAACACAGTAACACAATCGGTGGCAAAAAAAACAGACACAGTAACACAATCGGTGGCCAAAAAAACTTACCCAGGGAACGGTGGCCCCGGCCGTGATGCCGGCGACGAGCAGGAAGATGTAGAGGCGCCTGAGGGAGACGTGCTCGGCGAGCGCGAGGGCGAGACGCTGCACGAGGAACGGCAGACACGGCAACACGTCAGCCATTGCCACCGTGTACGCTGCCCCGACGAACAAAGACGTGCAGACCAGCGAGATGTACACCGACACTTCCCTGTCACGTGGAAACAATATCTTACAGTATCCTTTCACTACATTGGGGTACTTAATTCCTACAGTTCCTAGTCATTCGATAACTTAACTCAGTTTACTTCCTATAGTTAACTCTTTTTACTATAATAGAATAAATAAATACACAACTTACAAAATTAGAAGGCATATCAGTAGTGCAAACACAATTCTACATGAAAATTTCCCTAATTAAATTGAATAAGATTAGCAAAAAACATGACTGCTGACCCGTGGAAGAGAATGAGATGGCAAAACAAGACGCAGAGCCAGATGAGGCATGCGGCGGTCGCCTCGCTCTTGAGGTACACAGCGCGGCTACGGCAGTAGACGCTCTCCAGCTCCGCTAGCTTGAAGTTCAAACTCAGCGGCTTCATGTACTCGGTGCGCATGCGTCTGTTGGATGCGATCTCGATGTTCATAGCCATCAGCTCGTTTGCCTGCGAGTGAAACCGGTAATATTAAAAAAAGAGTCTATTTATTTATTTATTTATTTACTTGTTTATTGATTTAGAGGTCCGATGATTACCACATGATAATTATCTGAAAATACAAGTTGAGTGAATTATTTTAGATTTCAAGAATGTGTTATGAGTGAAAAAATTTACTCGCAAGTGGGAAACATGGATATCATAAACATTTACATGCAATATATATGTAATACGTTGTTACTTTAATATCTTGCTTTGTTAGACGGTTAATAACGGCATTTCTATTCATAATTTGTAGACGTGCTAATATTATAATGGTATTCAACACGGCTGTTATTCTACCTCGGCATCATGACCGAGTTAACATCAAAAGTTTGGTTAGTGTAAACATCTTGATTTTTCACCTCAGCGTTGCAGTCGTGTTGAGTCTGGTCAAGTTTTTCGTTCTTTCCTAGATTTTCATCATCGTCCTCGTCTTCGTCTTCATCGTAGTCTGAAGATAAACCCTCGTCCAGAAAATCGTCCAGGAACGCTTCGTCTTCCCAGTTCGATTCCAGCTGCATAATATGAGTTCTCGTTAATCGATTAAAAATGTGCAGTTGCAACAAGTGGGCAACGAAATATGCTTCAATTTTTTCTTAGAAAATAACATATTGTATTAGCTCTTCGTTAATTGTTGAATATTTATGACAATTAAGACTAATGACATAAGCTCTATCCGATACTTAAAAACTTCTGAAATCTAAGAAACGGGCATAAACATCATCTACGAAATTATCAGAAATGAAATCAATGCATAAAATTTAACATGACTTGTTGTAGATTTAGATTTTGTTTTCTTACACATTGAAGGCGAAAGAAACTTTTTCAGTGCAGAGAATAAAGAGACACTATACTTATAGCTAAGCAGATATCTCAACTTAAATCCGAAAAAGTATAAATAAAATTAAAATAAAACATATTTAGTTTAAATATATTAACAAATTTTCATTGATAAATGAATCGATTTTAGAGAAATGGATGTATTTCCATCCGAAAAGTAAATAATTTGATTGGGCGTGTCGATCGACTTACGTCTCCGAAGGGGTATTCCGGACACCACTCGTTGTTCGGCAGCGCTTTGTCTTCCTCCTTATATTTTCGAGACGTTCTTAGAAAATCTCCGTTGACTTTCGAAAAACCCGTAGAAGGGCTTTGAGTTTTTTCAACCTCAGGGCTCGATGGCTTCATGGTACCATTTTTACCGTTAGGGTTGCACGTAATTATTTGATTTTCAGAAGTACTCATTTCTTCTTCTATAATATGCGATGAAGTTCTCGGTGAAGTATCTATGAAAACTTCGACGTTTTTCTCGTTTAATATATTGAACTTAAGACCATTACAGCCGTTGAGACTAGGCCGTTCGTCAGTTTTTGCCTCTTCACTGACCTTATCACTAGTTTTTTGGGGAATTTCACAGCCATCTTGCACTTCATTACCATTAACAAAATTCAAATTAATATTATCTATCTGCATCTCAATGACACATGAATCTCTTTTAAAACCACATTCCTGTAGATCCTGCCTATCATATTTTGGCACATCAGAAACTGATGAGGATCCGTCATCGACAGCACAATTTTTGATAACGTCCTTTGTTTCTCTGTAGCAAGACTCCTCTACTCGATCCTTATCCGAACCGAAATTTGGGTTATATGTGCCCTTCTCTGGGCTTGAATTTTTCGTAAAATTATTATCGATGTTTTCGGAACCAAAAACCTGCAAAATAATTATGCTTTTAGAAGTGGGTGAGATAAATCAAAATTAAGACGAGTGATCGAAATTCGTTGGCTCAATAACAAAGATTAAAGTAAGAGATACATTAACCTCATACATGTGTTATTTTAAGGATATTTCAAAAGTTTTGTCATCAAATTTTGATTCAAATCAGATTTTATATTACTTCAATTAAATTTATATTTAAAATTATTTTTTTAATTCTCCAAATTAAAGGAGAAGTCTAGAGCTGTGGTGCCCATGTGGCCTTATGACCTTATGACGGGGTCTTTGGAGACAACCCTTCTCGTCACCTCACTTGAAATTCGGAGGTACGCGGTGCAGTCTCTGTTCTTTACCTGGCCCGAGGTGCGGAGGTGCGCGGTGCAGTCTCTGTTCTTTACCAGGCCCGAGGTGCGGAGGTGCGCGGTGCAGTCTCTGTTCTTTACCTGGCCCGAGGTGCGGAGGTGCGCGGTGCAGTCTCTGTTCTTTACCTGGCCCGAGGTGCGGAGGTGTGCGGTGCAGTCTCTGTTCTTTACCTGGCCCGAGGTGCGGAGGTGTGCGGTGCAGTCCGCGGTGCTGAAGATGCGGGCGCGTGAAGGACGATGGCGGCGACGACAGTGCAGAGGCTCGTCGCGCGCTATAAGGAATGTTTCCACCTCTCGGTCCTGCCGCAAGCAAAAATATTTTGCTTTAAAACATTTGTATTATTTTGTGTTACATGATTTAATCGCGAACACTCTAGAATTTTCTTAACTACAAACTATTTAACAAGAAAACTAGTCGAAGAATATTTAATTATTGCGACCAATCTAATCTGAACAAATAGAACTTAGATTGCACTGTGAGTAAGACTTGAAAAATTAAAATATTGTGATTCGAAACGATGGTTTCACAATTCATCATATGGATATTTACAGACTCAGAATTGAATTTTTATTGTATCCACAAACAGATTGACGAACGTTTTTTTTTTTTCTTGAATCAATTTCTCAGTTCAATTGATTCTTAAGGCATAAAGTTTTCAGCTTTACGATCATCAACATCATTATTTCATCTAAGAGATAAAAGTTGGCCACTGTAAGTGTTAAGAACTCGTTTCACGCATTCAACTCACATTTAGAGGATGATAGAAAGATCTAATTTCCTATGAATTGAGCAACATAAATTTGATAATCAAGACAACAAACAACTTCGGGAATGGGCAATGTGAGGCAGCTTGAGCGGGAAACTTTACAACGACACATTATTACTGACGCTTAATCGTCCCCGGTCGTGGCACTTAAAAAAGTTTGCGATTTTAATTGGCTTTGACGCAACCTTGACTCAGCAAATTGTGTGCTTGATATGTGAGACGAGGCTGAATGTCTATGTCTAGCGAATGCTTTTTTTCTGGTATGAGGGCCAAAATTGAAATACTCAATAATTGAAAATAAAGTGAGAAATAAATATTGTCTTTGGAATATAATTATTTTCAGAGTTAATGTAAACGAACTGATGAGATTATCGAGATGATCTGTGACATAAATATCAACATAAATAAACCACCAGGAGACAATTACCCATAACACTGAAAAAAATTTAAGATAAACCTGCGACAAAGATAGAAGATCCACATAAAATATTTTATGGAATCCTAACATCATCTTTCGTTTTACTAACGCTTGTTATTCACAATCGCTATATAATGTCATATGAACCTAATCCTCGAAATAAATGTCATTAAATCGACAATGGACCCTGGGAATGAGGAGATCGCAATAAATTCAAAGTTCTTTGTACTCAAAGACCCTTTTGGCCGCAGCATCCATCGTGGCAGTCACATTGACATGAGTGCGATGCAGCGACGAGTCGACCTAAAATATTTTACCGCCATAAGCAATTTATATTCACTTAAGTTGAGGGCAGAGTTTATGCCAAAATTTACAGTTTCCGGAGATGAACTTTACTAAGGTTAATCAAGCTTGAAGAAAACTTACTACGTCAAAGATTTAACGAAATAAAATTGGTCATTCAATGTAATGTAACTGGTTTTAGACTGCCAATAAAAATTGCATTGATACGTTATTAAACTGTAGTTATTTAGAAAAAATATTATGTAAACCTATGTAAACATACAGTATTCAAAGTTCACGCACATGAATAACCATAGATAATAACCGGAATGTTTTTTCTGTCTAAGGTGAATAAATAATTTCAGCACTCAAAAACTCATGCCGCAATTTCAACGCCTATTCAAACGTTAAAAAAAAAACTCCAGAAAAAGTGATAAACACGATGCAATTATAGGTGAACGATTTTTACCAGCGCCTCCACAGCATTGAACAACAAGTTTTTATAGCAGCTGATTACAGTAACCACTTTTTCTAAGCAGTATCTCTGTCTCGTATCATGTATGCGTTATTGGCATTATTTTTCCCTAACGCACCGCGCTATATGTGCCTCACTACTATGTAGGTTGCGGCCGGCCGGTGCACGACACCTTCGTCATTTTTGCCGGGAATATAAAACTCTGATCAATGTCAACAGCAAGGGGAGCACTCTTGTCATTGAATTAAACTGGATTTTCATATTAGATATTCAGCTAATTTCGATCAATGATTTATTTCTTAAATGCAAGGGGACATAGATTAGAAGTCGTTGAATGGTTAAAATAATAACACAGATGCGATATTACTATATATACTACAGTAGTTAACTAATAATTTTCGTCAAATTAATGATAACCGCACGTATACAAATGTTTTTCGAAAAAATTATTGCTCGCCCAAAAACATGTCGTAATTTCAATGCCTATTCAAACGTTAAAGAAACTGTAGAAAAATTAATAAACCTTCATTAATAATAAACCTTCGTCATTGCATTAAATTACATTTTTATATCAATATTTAAATAATTTTTTTGCTAAATGCAGGGAGACCAGTGGCGAATTTGGCTGACTTTATTTGAAACGAAGTCAATCAAATTCATCAGTCTTTCGGTGCTGGATTTTCACTGATGATGGTGAGAGGCAAACGTGTTGAGACGATCAGCGATCACCTGGTCCGCTAAAATTGAAATGAACAATCAAGATCATTTTTTTCGTTTATTCGTTTTATTTTCCAAATATTTTACTCGTTACAGTTACCATGAGAGTTTGGTTCATTTTCAACTTATATTTATTATACTTTCACTGCGCGGTTTGTGAATTTACGATGATTTCATTTTTCTTCAGGAAAGTTTAGTAAAGGAAAAGACATAAAGGTAATCGTTAAAACGATAAATAAATCAGCAATAACCTTGAGGTAATCACCAACGTTAAGACGCTATGTCAGCACTTACCTTGAGATAATCAGCACCGTATTATTATCAACTCAGCACTAACCTTAATTAAGTTTTATTCAAAATTTAGCACTAACCTTGGGATGAAATTGGACGTTGTACTAAAAAATCAGCCTATAATATTGAAAAGTCTGCAACATTTTATTCTCAGTTCAGCGCTAGCCTTTAGGCAATCTTCACCATTTAATAGAAAGTCTGCACTCACCTTGAGATACTCGTCCCTGGTGTGACCAAAGCCAGGCTCCACTTCGTATGCGTTGCCCAGACAATCGTACGTAGCTCGGGATATATGCACTCGTCTGTAATAAATTAAATTTAATTATATTTAAATCGAGATACAACAAGTGCACTCAATTGTAGAATTTAAAATGTCACTCGTCTATTGGACATTAAACATGAACGAGTCTCGATCTTATTATAGTTGCACGCGAATGTAGGATTTCAAATATGCATTACGCACGCTTCAATAGAATATTAAGAACGTGCTGGTCTGTACGACATTAAAAAATTTAATGTTTGCGCTAGACTATAGAATATTAAAAACGTTCATGTCTATCAACACGAAAAGTTCACAGGACGTAATGATTCGCTCTCTTCACTGGTCTGAAGGATCTTAAATTTTCCTGCAATCGTGGAGAATTACGAAAAATTCTCATGAGAGAAGAATTTCCTATGTGTATACCTTTTCAAATTGGAAATGTTTGCTCTGTGCATTCTGTGAAAAATTTAACTGTACGAACCTGAAGTATATTGAATCTACACGCCAGTTGGATTTGAAGTCTAAATGCACCTGTGGGTTGCTATGTTTTATATACAATGAATTTTTCCAATATTTTGAATTGTTTTATTTGTTGAATGATGGGATCGTTGCGTCAGAGAAGCATCAAAATATTAAAAAAATATAATTCATTATTTTCCAGAAATTCAGAAAAATAGCAAGAAATCTTTTTTTACGACGCGAACTAAGATGAAAACCATTTTTAATTTGTATATCAATGAAATTAATTCAATTCATGAATAAGAAAACAGTGAGAATTCTGTCAGCTATCCAAGTGACGTGAAGTAGCATTCAATTCTTTTGACGAACGATTCCGGAAATGCCGTACACTCGTGCCATAGTTCTTTAAGTAGCAGTAAATTCCTAGAACCTTTTTCGAACTGCATATGAATATTTAATCGCTGAAAAACAACCTCATGACATAGGCTGATAATGTTCAAAAAATCAATCCTTTTCGCCTCAAATTCACTTTAAAATGTGACAAATTTCATTAATGTCATCTATAAATATATAAAATTCCATCACTGTCATCAATAAAGTGTAGCTGTCCGAGACGCCGAAAATTGGCAATGGGACTTTCATCGGGCTTGGGGTATCAAATGGCGTTGCCATAATTATCAGTGATGTTCATTCTATAAATAGGGTTAATAAATTTTTAGAATCTTAGACCAATCAGTACATCATGTAATGATATCAATGATTCTATTCATCATCTTTGATATCTATCATTAAATATTCTCAGCGCAGAATGTTCCTCCCGCTGCTGATGAATGGCTCCGCGAAATCGAAAAAGTCCATTTTGCATTAAGACTGAACACAATATAATCCTATAACAATTTGTAGAACCTCCTTGCTTCATATGCATTACTTTTCTGACTGCATTAGAGACATTAACTATTTATCGCGGTAAACAAAACTGCAAACTAATGGGAGAAAATGCATGTACCATTAAAAATTTATATGTGCCATTTCATAACGGCATTTTGCAATGAATTTATACAGGAAGCATGCTGAGAAAGTAGATTTATTTAACCGATAACAGTAGGTAATTTTTGTGCTTAAAACAGGCATTCAATCATTCATTACCATATGAATATAAAATAAACGAAATGTCATCCCTTTTTCTGAAACTAAATAATATACTTGTTGAAATTTTCAATACAAATTAGATACTCGTACTTTTTATAGTGTTTGTAAGAACTCTCTATTTAATTCCAAGAAATTAAGCTGCCCGTTTAACTGGATAAAAAATGAAAATACTTCCGTAGTGTTTAATGGCGGTGAAGTTAGCAGTAAGTCGCTAAGTTCCCTCACAAACTTCATGGAAGTCCTTCAGAGAAAAACGGGCGCCTGAAGAACCTAGAGACTTGAAGTTATGCCAGCCGCATTATATGTTCCAAAAGGACAGCTGAGAACCCCAACATTGCCCTGATGTGCTAATATTTGTGGCGTTTTCATTATTTTCCATGAAGCATGACGCAACAACTATAGGAGTTGCATCCGATAATTCTATTTCCAAGTTAATTTGAATGAAGGTTGATCGTGATTATAATTTAACGCGAGGTTTTCAGGAAATCTAGAATTCAAAGGAGGTTTTAATTGACTAAACAAAAGCTAAACTAAATGATATAGAAGGCATTTTTCAGTAGCTTTCCCTTCGTGTGTTTTGAAAAGAAATAAATAATGTTGATATGTAGAGGATAACGAAAAGCAAACCAATTTTTAAAAATCAGAAAATTAGAAAGAAATTGACAGCAGCTGAAAATTTCCTGAACCAAAACCAATAAAAATAATCAAATGAATAATCACATTACGGTCAATTTATATAAGAGAATTAATTTATTGCAATAAATCGGGATAATTTGAATCCTACAATCTATAAATACTAAAAACAGAAAGGCAAAATCTAATAGTATTTCCGTTTCTTATCTACTTATTGCCACACCAATTTCCCATCAAGCGCATGAGTATAAGTTGTAAAACATCACCTGTCTAACGAGAAATATACTTCCACATTCAGAACAAATTAGATTAATCATAGTTACATTTTTAACTGTAACTCATGTTGCAAAATATGTAATTACCCAGGCACGCCTGCGGCCTCCATGTGGTTGGCGAGAGTGACGTCGTAAGACCAGACGTCGAACTGCCACTTACGCAGCCCCAGCACCCCGCACAGCACAGACCCAGAGTGGATGCCGATACGCATGTTTAGGTCCACCTGCACATACACAATTAGTGAATGTCGACTTACGAACAGACGTAGAACTTCCACTTCCCAGCACAACATTATCATGTTAATACGCATACGTATACATCACATACATATACATCACATATGTATATGTATCCTTAAACAGCGCTGCTAGAATTCCCACGTCTTGCACATACATATACATCCCATGCATTGCAGAATAACGCATACGTCGCTAATCCGTAACGTAATAGGTAGATATTCAGGAAATTAACTTCTTTTAGTCCCTGTCGATAATAAAATGCAAGGTTCATGCAATGGATTATAGACTTGATTTGTTTAAAACCTTCTGAGACTGAACATTTACAGCAGCCAAAAATTAATTTAACTGCGGATATGCATCCGTTTTATGTGAATCGTAATATTTCAGTGAGAGATGAATTTATTATGAAACCAATTCTGCAAAATATTCATTGTTAAACTATTACAACTGAAGTACGTATTAATTGATGAGGATTTATTCACCATAATTCGATCGTGATATGCAACTTTCACTATTTAATACCCAATAAACTTGCAAAACGCACTCCAGACCTTGAACCAGAATGCATACTATTTTTGAATATATCTTAGACATGAAGACTCTTTTTCATGAAGGTATACTGGACTACACATTAATCCTGAATAATCATTACATTTAACCGTGTTAATTTGCACATAAAATCACGCATAAAACCACTAGATGCTCTACGAAGATACAGGCTCTCCGCAGGCAAATAACCCAATACTTTCTTCGATTCATGGAAAGGTAGCGGACGAGCAGAAGCAACACAAAGTTTATAATAATGACTAAACTTATTTTATGAAAAAATTTAACATTTCTTCGACGTGTATCACGCAGTGACGCACCTGCGTATTGCGGCGCACAGCAGTGACGCATCTGCGTATTGCGGCGCACAGCAGTGACGCACCTGCGTATTATGGCGCACAGCAGTGACGCACCTGCGTATTGCGGCGCACAGCAGTGACGCACCTGCGTATTGCGGCGCACGGCAGTGACGCATCTGCGTATTGCGGCGCACAGCAGTCACGCACCTGCGTATTGCGGCGCACAGCAGTCACGCACCTGCGTATTGCGGCGCACAGCAGTGACGCACCTGCGTATTGCGGCGCACAGCAGTGACGCACCTGCGTATTACGGCGCACGGCAGTGACTGCGCGTATCATATGGAGGCCCATCTCAACGCAACAGATGGCGTGGTCACTGCGCGCCTGAGGCAGGCCAGAGACGCAGTAGTAGCAGTCGCCCAGCAGCTTGATGCGCAGGCAGTGGTTCTCCTGTGACACCAACGTTGAAATGTGCACTTTAAAAATCAATTTAAAATGATAAATTGTATTTATAACATAACCATATTTAAATAACCAGCTAAGCGGGATTATTGTTAACGTATTCATTTTGTTATTTTCGAGTTTTATCCATGATACCTCATATTTGTAAATTATTTCGCTTCAAAATCTGAATTTCAAGCGCTAATCAGAGAACAATAATGAACACGGTTGTCCGTAGATGCATGAAAGTTAACGTTTTGCATCCAATTTCTAATCCCATTCACAACGGATTTCCTGTCTGAATCTCAGTTTTATACAGCATTCACAGTCTCGTTTATCTCGATACGCTTAATCATAATTTTTAGCGTCGTTTAATTTTCCTGTTGTAAATTTTAAACGTGTACAATTTTCGTATTACTTTAATTCTTTTCCAAACGACGTCTCCTTTCGAAATAATGATGAGATTAATCTCGGTAAGGCCGAGTCGCTGAATAATTGACCTTACATTAGCTATTTGCTATAAAATACTCGTGGAAAAAGCAAAAAATTTACAACAAACATCTCTGTTTTTTTATTCTTTCAAATGAACTCTTTTCATACCTGTTTTTTCACTTCATAGGAATCAGCGCCAGTTAAACAAAATCCTCTTATTCCAAAACCTGGGCCTTTTAAAAAAAACATCGAACTAGGAAATTTATTTTAAAAGAAAGTTATGATAAAAACAGAAATTTTTACTCCAGCTTCGAGATGGAACTGTCAGTGGGTTGATACGTTCCAAGTTGTAAATCGTTGACTTATTATTTATAACGCATGACGCATTACATAATTGACATTTAAAACGCATGAGAGAAATTTTATGAGCTTCAAATCATATTGATTGAAAATGCGAATGCAAAAAGATATATGGACCAGTGATCACATTCAAGAGTTATTATTTAGCCACATAGTCGATCAACTTTTGAATGGATTTAGGTTGCATCACTTTCGTTAAACGAGATTCAAACGCTTCTATAACGCGGAATGCGATTCTGTAGTTTGAAATATTTTCACCAATCATGCCTGAAATAGTCAAACCTCTTACACGTCCATTGGCAAATATATTCTACTCATTGGCGATCATCGATGCGAAACGTTGAATGCGCGGAACTATATACCATCATGAATGCGCGAAACTTAACTCCCACATGTATAACAACGTTGTTGTTAGCTAACGTTCATAACGAATCACTGCTTCATGTCAAATAACATACATTTATTGTTATTCATATTAACTATGGATGCTTTGAAAATAAATGAAGATTATGATTTTCCTTACAGCTGCCAGTCTGTCAAATCGTCCGAAGAGGTCGTTGAGTACGCGTACGAGCTCCTCCGCACTGCACTGAGACGCCAGCGCTGTCGATAGATTATATTTATACATAAACACCATTTTGAATTTCTTGAAGAAACCCTATCGCCCAAACAAGACTAATAACTTAAGCATAGAAAATTAATAGTTTCGGTAATGGCTTTTCTTCACAGGCATTACACCAAGTAGAACCTCAATTTTTAAGCATGAATTTCTATGTGTTTCAGGAAATCACAAAAACTCGCAAGGATAATCAACACTGCACGCATGAAGAGAACAGAGTTACATTAATTTTTCTAGCTTCAAACGCTTCACAATTGCCAACGCAGGGGGCAATAATTTGCAGACAAGGGCAATAGAAGAGAGCAGCAGTTTTGGAGCGCCAAGAGAAGAATTCTTAACGGCATTCGAGTGGCAAAGAGACGTGAGTTTCCTGCAAAAGCCTGCCTCGAGGCTGGAGTTTAGAGCTGCAACCAAGCTATTTTGAGGCACACCATAAATCAAACTTAAAGAGCGCAACTCTTAAAGAGCCATTGAGCCGAGCCGCAACATAATTTAGCGCCGGTAAAGAGTTCCACTCGACCTCTTTTAATGGCCATAAAAGTGAGGCTAGCTGGACCTCTCCATGGCGCGATGCCACAACGCAACCATTATAACAGAAATTGAATTGTTCAGGAGAAACTCAATAAATTATTCGATTAGTCTTCTTAATAAAATACTCCATATAAGCCAGACGCACCAAAACTCACTTGTGCTAGCAACATTTGCTTCATCTCTTATTATTTAATTGTAAAAAAAGGAAATAATATTTTGCAGTAAGGCAATTAATAGATTTAAGTTATCAAAAACAGAGTTTTGTTTTGATTAGTTAAAAATTAGTTTGAGGATAAACCTTTGAACTAGAATATCATTCAAAATATCGCTAATGCCTCAAATGAAGTGTTTTTTTCAATATTATCAATAATTAAAGGACTGACAAATTAGGTTTGTTTTTTAGTTTCTTCAATTCAAGTAGTAACAGATTATATGAGCAAAACAAGATAAGAAGAGAAATTAAGTATCACTATTAATGGTCTGAAAGAATTTATCCCGCAGTAACTATTTACAGCAAAAGAGGACACATTTATTCCTTTGTTAATAATGCTAATCGTATCTGCATCATGATTAAATCAAATAATGAATAAAGAAGCTGGAAGATCACCAATAAATCAAATCATCCAAGTCCGGTTTATCCTTAGTCCATGCCTGCCAGCATGAGTGGGTCAGAATTCAAACAGTGAAGGATCAAAGTGAAAGCCTTACCAGTAAATCCCTTGATGTCAGCGAAGAGTATGGAGACGTTCTCGTAGCGGTGGATGTAAATTTTATGGAACTGTGCAGGCTGGAACTCCCCCCTCTCTTCTTCCCTTGCAATGTCCCGGATCATCTCTAGTGCCACAAATCTAGGCAGCACTGAAACACAAGTGAAAAAAACGAGTCAGTTCGAGGTGGCAGTTAGCCCACGCTTGTTGCTCTACAATATAGGTTTTTCAATTGAAATTGACGTTGGGCCTTCTGTAGAATGGTTATCTCAAGAACATTATTGTGAAATGTGTCCTACGAGATTAAATACATTTGTCCGTGAATTTAATTCACCGTTAGTCCCACGCTAGCGTATATGAGCTTCCGAAAATTATAGATATTTTATAGTTGAGCTTGAGCTCCATAGCCTTTATTAGAGATTATAGTCTATTTTCTGCCGGTATCATGTAAGAGAAGTCGGTCTCTTCATGCATACTGCGTTTAATTTAAGGTGATTTTTCTGATCTCACTATTTCTCACTACTTTATGTCTCGTTGGAGAAACGAGATTCACCAGACAACAGAAGTTTCTCCTGTCGGAGGTTCTCCTGGCGAGTGCGGCATCGCATTTCCATCGCCCGTTTGGTCTCCAGGAAAGCCTTGCGTTGACTTCTATCACTGAGATACTTGCTGTAGACGCCTGATGTGTTCAGTCCAAGTGACAGCAACACCTCAGCTGCCAGCCACACCCAGTAGTGTGCTTTACCGCCCTGTCAGCACAATGTCAAGAGTCTGGTCAGAGTGAGGGTTCTGATGAAACGTAATACTCGACAGGGGTAATATCTCTCTGGGAACCTTGTCACGTTAAATTTAAACTTTGCCCTTTGTAAATTATTAGCGCAACAATATACTAATTCTATTCCCAACGACGAACAAACGAATGTTTAACTTGAAAGCTAAAATAAAATGCTGACCTCTGAAATTAGAGAAACTGTAAATATATTTGTTTGGTAGTAGTAAATACGTATAAATCAATTAAAATAAACGAAACACGCCTATTCATGTAAAAATTACCAAAGCCATGTAATAAAAACTGATTAACTTTAAAAATTTCCATCGCAAATCTTTAAGACCAATATTGTTTAAAAGCCTCAAACACCAACCAGGATGAAGCTGGCGATAGAGAAAGCGAGATGCAGCAGCGAAGTGCCCACACCGATGAACAGCGCCCACCGTAGAGGTAGCGGTAGCATCCCGTAGCTCACGAACACGGTAAAGAGCAAATACCAAACCATGTTGTCGTTACCGACGCCCAGTGCATGCGGAGGTACCGACGTTGGGATGCCGAGGCTATCCATTACTATCATTTGCTGTAGGATCGTGGAGTTTCCCTCGTAGGTCCTGACGTTCGGGGAGCTGTTAGGCCCGAGGGTCGAGGGGTGTGGGTTGCAGAGAAGGTACTCCCTGAGTTCGGACTGGAGGTATAAGATTTGTCCTAGAACACCTGTAATGTAAGGTACCAAGACATAATTAATAACGTGCCTAATTTAGTCGAAACAATTAGCATGAAGGCATCTGAGGGGTTACTTACACTAAAAATTCAGGGAACATTGCGAACAAATTTTTAACGATTTACGTGTAATTGATGACAGGCTTCCGCGAACATAATTATGTGTTGTATTGAAAAATATCTTCAAGATCAAATAATGAAATTGTATTGAAAATAACGAACCAAAGCGCGCAGATTATTCCTTTTGATAAGGCAAAGCAATATAGCAACATTTTTGCAACATCTTTCTAGGCTTATGTTAAAAAACAACTGCTGTTGTGTCAGCACTGCACCGCAAAATATCGATATTTTTTGGCAGTTTTAATATTTTCAGGCGCCAAGCACCAGGTGCATTGTTGGTCGTACCAGGTGTACGACCAACAATTTTAAATTTAATGTGGACAACACAATTCATTGTTGATGATGAAAAAAAAAATTTAACGGCCAAAAGATGTGTTTAAGTTCTGACAGAAGAAACTGTTGGATAATAAATAATCAGGAAGAATATTTCTAGACCCAAAAATAGATCAGTTAACTTGTAACTTGATTTAATATTATTTGTTTCGAGATAATAAGCACATATGAGAGTTAATCTTTCTTGGCAGAATGAAAATTTTTATGAAAAAATAGCTATAGTGTCATTTCTATTGCAATAAAAGCTTCTGATCATCTTAAAAATGCGTAGCTTTCCCAGTATAGATTTAAAATTAATCATACAACTAAGCACGTTTTTAAGAGACTTCAAATAATTTCAATTATCACAAGAAAAAAGTTCGAAATCATTCCGTAACCTAGATTTCACAAAAGAGATCTTTGCATTCATTTGAATTGCAAATTCAATGCCGAAGCCAGCTATGCGATTTTCGACAGTGGCAAATCGCAGCTCGTGTCGAAAAAGAATATTGATTAAATTTATTGGGCATAAATACGTCGAATCTATTACTAATGTTAACTAAAATTTACAGAACCACTAAACCCTACATAAAAATAATCGGATCAGAATGGCATTCAAAAAATTAATCCGCTGAGACAGAAATCCAAGGCTACACGAGCAACTTTTACAGTTTTAAATTTTCCAACCGCTGAAAATCGATTTTTATGCTTAATGGAGCAATTAAAAAGACACGAAATTAATATTTAAGTACTAAATTAAAGCAATAGCTCGAATTCTAAATAAATTCAGGGAACTTGTACAGGAAGTCTTATTTGAATGCGGGTACATACGATTTTTAACAATATAATTGAGTTACCAAATATTTCATAATAAAATTTCACTTCTCGTACAGTTTGACTACGCAGTTCACAAAACAAACGTAGACCTATAAAGGCTATGTTTGCTATCGCGAGCTAAGTCTAGCTTCCGACTGGCAGATTATTTTCTTTATTTTTTGCAAGGTTTCATTTTCAACCAGCAACGGCTCACAATCCTGTAAAAAAATGTTATTAAACTAAGAACGAAGCAAATAAAAGTTCAGTCCTTTCATCCTCACAGTAAAGCTGAGTTGTTCCTGAAGCAAATAAAATCCGAACATGAATTGGGAGCGCAAACATACGAGTGACGAGCTTCAAAGAGCGATTCATTTCCAAGGTTGCAGTCAACAACAACAATTAAGACGCGACCATTTACTTTAAAGATGAATTTTGACGACTCAATAATTCACGTGGCGCATGAACTCGAAATCAAGGACCTTCATTAAAATGAAATCCCAAACGAAGCAAGCAGCGAGTGCCCAAACTATGACCCGTTGTGAAACGGACGAAAATAATGATAATTTAAATACTGAAAAATACCTTAGGAAACTTCATGGTGTTGAAAGACAATTATAGAGAATAGTGTAGGTAATCACTATAGCCGTATACAGTACACTAGAACGAGATGTGTGACGGATGCAAGGATTTAGGACTGACAATTCTACGAATACTGATAAATTGAACGTGAAGTAAATTTTACCAAAAATTCATATTGTGCCTTTCGAATTATCAGAAAAAGAAGTTATCATTGAAGTTAATGCCGTGTATTGGCCTAAAATACTCGCGAAGAAGAAGGCGAGCAGAATAAGCGGACAAGAGCAAGATTCGTGACAATGTGAGCAGAGTTCCTGGCTAAGGACATGCTACGTGCGTAAAATAAGTGGTCAGGCAACAGTCAAGGTCATAGCGCTGCAATCTTTCGGCGGCAAGGCCAACTAGAATGTACATAATTATTTGTAACTACAATTCCGACATGACGAGGATTTTAAACTCTTTATTGCGTGAAAAATCAAGGATTTTAAGGGAATTTCTTAACAAAAAATAAACTGATACATTGATCTTTTCAAATCACATAAAAAGAATGGGTGCATTATTCTAGGAGCGAATAGTGGTAACAGGAACGTAAAAGTCTGCGGAATCCAAAACTGCAATTTAACTATCTAATTGTCAGCCTTCTTATGAAGAACATTACAAATTAAAGTCTTATTGTTAATGATTTTAGGCATTGAAGGTCTACAAAGCAATGAGACGCCATTATATATTTTCATTTAAGCTGAACGGTGAATTTCTGACATAGTAATGTAAATTTTAATTCTACGATGATAAGAGTAGATGCAAGGAACAGCGAGGGAGTCATGGAAGCAAATGCTGAGATGGCATATCGTCTTTCCCATTAAAGTCGTCCCTGACGTTAGGAAATAAAATATTAAAAGAGAAGTGAGGAAATTTATTGTAGCTTTTGAATATATGCATATGACAAGGATCGTTGTTGGCCTTTTCACGATATGGTGTACAGGATGCGTGATATATTTGATTGTGTCTGAAGTAGCGGATATTTTTTTTACGGAATTAATAATGTGAAATTATTGTAATTAGTCTCACTAAAACTATTGTGATGCATTTATATACTGGATTCGAAAAATGCATGCACCGTAGGAATCGGTTCCTGTCTGATGGAAAAGTTGTAATGCAATGCAGAAATCTCTAGATAAACAAATAAATGCTGAGTAATAAAACTATATGCTGTATAAAAATCCTGCCTAATATTATAACTGATAAAATTTAGAAATGAAAATCAAATTACTCTTCTAGACGTCGAAAACTCTATATAAAGAGGAAATGGTGATGAATGCAAGAATTGCTTCAGGATGATAATACTACCGCGTTGTATAAGTAATGCTGAGATATAAAGTGAACCTACCTATGCCGCTTAATGAAGTCAACTTCAGTAAGAAGTTGACTTTGGGCTACTAAAAATTGCTGAAAATGTCTCCACTGAAGTTGAGAAGTAGCTGAAGTAGTAGAGCTTCATAATGACGGTAATCTCATACCTCATTGTACTTTTCGGCCTCAGCGCATTGATCAATGATACGTTGTGTAGGTAATGTGATGAGCGGTAGATCTGTGAGAGCATTGACATTCATTGTATGTAATCACCTTGCTCACACTAAACCGTATTGTTTAGACAGCTGCAACTGCAATACTGTTGATGTTCCAATATGCGCCATAAGAAATTCCACGCGATGTCAGTAGATTCCGTACCCACGTTGCCTTTGAGCGGCAGTGCGGTGAGTAATTCAGGGTAATGAATGGAAACTCAATACTTATTATGCGAGGCGAGCGGCAGTGCAATGAGTAATGCAGAGTATTTAATGCAGCCTCAATGCTTACTCAAGGCGATTAGTGACAGCGCAGTTAGCGATGCAGAGTATTTAATACGCTGTACTACTAATGCAGGCGGTGAGTAATGCAGAATATTCAATACTCTGCAGTACTACTGCAGAGTATTCAATGCAGCCTCAATACTTACTCAGCGCATTGAGTGAGTATTGAGCAACGAAAAGTAATGAATGTCGCCTCAATACTTACTCGCCCAGCGCATTGAGCATGAGCGCGGTGAGGAATGAAAAGCATTGGGTAATACTCACTCTGGACGTTGAGCAGGAGGGCGGTGAGCAGAGCTGCGTAGTGCAGGTAGTTATTAGCGAAGACGTTCCAGGCAGCCACACAGCACACGAGAAGGTTCAGCGCCATGCACACCAGATAGACAATCTGTGCATAATAGAGACATGTTCGAAATGAAATAATTGTGGCCGAACGAATAACTCCAACTGAAAAAATGAATTAATAACGGGATAAATCTCGTACACGTTATCAGTCTTGTAATAAAATTTTTAAAGTTATTCCAGTTATCTTTTCAAATTAGCATACGGTATGCATTTTGTAAAATAGTTTTGCATTGTAAAAATGCAAAACGCCTTAGAATAGTGTAAATACCCGAAAAATTACTGTGGAATTTTCAAAGAAAATCTTTTTATGGAAATTATGGAACCAAATTCTACTCGATAATTTCAATTCCATGCATGATGAACAAGACTGCATGGAAACATGGGCCACATGCAGCTTAATGAGCCTGGTAACTGGGGAAGATTGTTCAGTAATTTAAGCAATTTCTTGGCGATTAAGATAGACAAATTCTCCGTATCTTGCATAGCATGCAAAGCTCTTCCTTAATTACGAAGAACACGCAATGCTACTTCTAAGGGTCTACCAGCATACAACTCCGAGTCTTCTTAACGGTAATCCCTACAAACTTAACCACAAAAACTTTCCCATATTTTCGGTACTTACCAAAATCTCAGCTTAAATCCATTAGAATGTTTAGCAAAGTTCTTGGTTCACTACGAGGATCTGATTAAATATATTTTCCAGAAACACAACGTTATTCCCATCTCAACGTTACCAACTTGTTGACGGTTACGAAAAGAAAAGAATTGTTCAACGTTCACAATTTACGCATACTCTTTAATTCAACGAACTATTAATACTCTCAATGAACTTGAAATAAACTTTGGATTTTGAACAAGTCAAACAATGAATCAGCCGAGTACTAAAAACTGATTTAAAAAAAATTCGAGTTCGTAAACAAAAATCTATCGCCTCGCGGTAAGAACACATTCCATATGTTCCTCGCGGTAGGAACCCATTTAAAACAATTTAAATAATATTTTCAATATTTTTCAACGTATTCCAGAATCTCAATCGTCTATTTAGCATCGAACAAACCCTGCACCCCTTCATGGTAAGCTAGGACACTATATTCCGAATGCAAAGTTCATGTCCCATTACCTATAATCTGCCAAACTGGAATTGAACTTCGTGTTGTAAGCTGCTATTGAAATTGAATTTCTTCCAATTCGATAGCCCCAGCATCTTAGCTATGATGAGATGGTACCTGTCTTGATCATGAAACAAACTATGTATTACTTACATCTTGAAAGTGAGAATATGTCAAGAATATTTAGGTTGCAAAGCAACTTGAAGTGCGAAACTTTAACTGAGGTTCTTTGCAGAATTTCAAATGCAGCGCAGATATTTTAATTATCACTGAATATGTTTTATGGCTATTCGACCGACTTAAAAACAAGAAGTTAATAACAAATTGTTCAAAGTTACCATGAAATAGAAGTCAACAATGCGAGTTTAAATTCAGAGATTGAATTTCAAGTCTAATCTTACGTCATTGCGACAGAGAAAAAGATTATTGAAGAAATTCACACTTGAGCAAATGTACACATACGAGATAAGAAAAAATTGAGGGAATTTTTACAACACTTCTCTTTACCTTCACTTCTTGTGTGTTTGTTTGTTTGTTTGTCTGTCTGCTACAAATCTTGTAATCGAAATTTAATACACTTCTACTTATCCTATCGATCTGAAATTTTGCACACTTGTGTAAAGTTGGAGACAATGCATGAATCAAATGTCAAAATATATGATTTTAAAATTTAAATTTTTTTCAATATTATAAAATTTTAAAAATAATTTTTTCAGCCACAAATCTTATAACTGATATTTGACACACTTTTACCTGTCTAATTGAACTGAAATTTTGCACACTTGTGTAAAGTCAGAGGCAATGCATGAATCAATTAACAGAATGAATAATTTTGGAAAAAAATAGATATTAAAAAATTTATATTTTAAAAAAATTGAAAAATTAATTTTTTTAATTTTCGAAAATTAGATGGGAAATTCATTGTACATCTGCAAGATTGGAGACACTGGATTCTTTGGAAGTGTTGTCTTTAAAAAGTAATTTTAAACGTATATTATTTAAATCTAATTTTGCGCTAAAAATTTATAGTCTAAAAAAATACGTTCTGTTCAGAACGCGGAATGGTAAAATATTGCATAGAATCAATTGTAAGTGTAAAACCGGATAGTCATTCCATGCACGGATAAATAAAATGCATTAAATCAAGTATAGTGAAATATATTACATATACAGAAATTATTAATGCATTTCAAACATTAATAAATATATTATCAGTAATTAGCACTTAAATATTGATCCTATCTAAAGAGTATCTCAGCTTCATTAGAGCGCATTGACCATTAGAGCAAATTGCATTTCGTAATACGTTTAGTACCTATATTCTATACACAAATAAAAATAAATTCAATTTAACTATGTCAATTTTCAGTACAATTTTTGAGAAAGAAGTCATCCACTGACATGTTTGTCGTAATTCCACAACTTCATCATTACAATAAATAACTTTTCCGTTAAGCAAATATCCTCACGAGAAAAAAAACAGGATGCTGGATACTTACTCTGAAACTAATTCCAGTTAAAAATTAACAGCATGCCAGCGGCTCACTTTAAAGTTCTTTCCACTCAATAATTATCAAAAAGTTTTGCACTCACGACGACGAAGGCGATATCATGATTGACGTTGACGAACATGACGACGAGCACGAGTTTCATGACGAGGTCCAGGCCGTTGACGACGATGAGCGCTCGTTGCCGCTGCCGCTCCGAGTACAGTTGATATGAGCGCTCCAACTGCGCGTCTGAGAAGCTGAAAAAACAATATTATGTTCCCAGTGTTTCAACAGGATGAATTGCAGGTACCTTGGATAACTAATTCAATATCTTAGCATAACAAGAGAAGTGAATTATGTGACCTCCGGTTAAGATCACTCAGTAAAATGTTGCTTCACTCTATAATTTCAACGCCACTGTAGTGTAGTGGTGCCGATGGAAGTATAAACGTTTTGAGTAAAACAGAACTTTGCCCAGATACGCTGGCGAAATTATTAAGGGCACGGCGCATTATTATAATCGCATTATTCATGCTGCGCTTTAACGCATTATTCATGCGCCTGACTTTTTTCAGCGTAATTAATCCCAGTCATCATGTTAGATTTTTTTACTTGCACATGTAAGTTTTTGATGGTTACAAACGATATCATGCCTCACATGAATTTTCCTGATCAGTTGTTTCATTATAGTCCAGTAGTCCAGCGATTCCGACTAGCTCAAAGAATACTATACTCGCTAATTGAATTGCAAGTTCTTTTTTTCTCGTTTAGCCAGCCCGTTTCAAATTCAATAAAAATTCAATTACTTTCTCAGATCGTATTACGCGTTGTGCTATTCAAGTTAATATTTATCTGGTGAAATATGAATAGATTTCCGATCAGTTTTACGCGCTTTTAATGAAACGTGGATTATATTCAAATCATTTCATAACTTCCTATAGTACAGTTTACACAAAGAAAATCAATGTAGTCAGATCACAACTTCCACACAACGCTCCTGAAAAAATTATCACTGACGAACTTTTAGCACATTTTTTCACGAACTTTCAAACGATTCTTTACCCAAACTTATTAATCATTTTTTTTCAAGAACTTTCGGCAGACTTTTTCCAAGGCACCAGCAATCATATAGATGCAGCATCCAAATTAATATCAATAGAAGAACATAGTAAAAAGAACAGAGCAGTCATTTGTCTTAGAAAGCCACCGGGAACTTGAGGAAGCCTCCCTAGATGAAGGATGGACGTCAGAATCATATAGGATACGCAGCAATGACCATACAGTCCCTACATCTGACTTCTTACTGCGCTTTTTACTGCGTAAATATAATGACATGCCAGGCTTGTGCCAGCTGAGAGGAAAAAGCTGGCGTTTGTATGAATATCAAATGAAGAGCCACAAACTTGTTCCCGTATCGTTGGCGGAGTTTTATCAAACGACCATGCAAGTAGTAACAATAGCATCACAATTGTCTTAGTAACAAATGGAAATAAGCAGTTTATAAATGCATTTGGTTTTTGTTTTAACCTCGGTGAGATGGATATCGATATTTGATATATTTCTTGTATATTTGACTTAATATCCTAGTATCCATATTACATCTATGTAAAGATAAAAATTTTGAAAATTACTTCCAAGAAATCGTCTTCATACCGTAAGTAAACCGAGATCCGTTGACCGATTCTATGAATCACAAAATCAAAAAATATCTGCAATTTCGGTTATAGTCGAGAAAGGAGACCAGAAGCCATTAACAAATTTAAAATAATAAATTCAGGATCTAACTTCTATTTAATAAAACTATATTTATGCATACAACAAAGGGGACCCATTATTCACTAATAATAATTTCAACTCATGTCAACTATGGAATCAATTAAATTATTAAAGAGAATTTAAAATTATATTCATTCAGTGGTTTTTACAGAATAAGATATAGCCACTTTTCGACAAAAATCATGAATTGAAATTTGTTCTTTAAATAATTCTACAAATTTTCAATTATATGTTCTTCTTCAAACACAAATATTTAAATAACATGTAAAAAATAAAAATCACATTTGCTAAACAAATTCTGACAAAAGATTTTTCGTAAGAGGCATCGACAATTCAAAAAAAGAAGAACAACATCGCTTCACGCGTAAAACTGCAACTTTTACAGTAAACTATGGCGTCTTAATGTGAATACAGTGGAAGATCAAGTATAAACCATACATAGTCTTTTTTAGTTCACTTGAACATAGTTAATTTGAAGCGCGCACATCCGTGCCATTTATTCAACTGTGAACTAAAATAAATCTTTGAGCATTTGAACTCTGCAATTAGACAAGTTTTTTGAAGTTGACAACCGAAAATGCTTCAATCACGTCGAAAATTTCCCTCAACAAAGTGAAAAAATGTCTCCAACAAGACAGATGATATTGAGACACAAGGCCCCCTGAGGACTAATGGATAAGCAAGGCAACGTTTGTCATATTTCCAGCGACCATCGCATTGACGACGATTTGCTGCCTACAATTCACAAATGAATTCTGCAGGCCATGCAAAGACGAATCACTGGCCACCAATTGCACTCCAATAACATAAAATAAAGGGATGAAAATCGTGCGTATTTTCAACGAGAAAAAAATTTATTCCTCAGGCTAGCAATTAGAATCTAACACCCTTCAATGACAAGGAATGTGCCTTCTGGTAATATAAAGAATTTGACGTCTAGATAATCGTTCACACGTGCCTCCCAAAGCAATATGCTGGAAAGAACTAAATCGATCAATGAACTCGTTGAAGCGTGGAAGCAACACGTTATTGCCGTCTCTGTAAAGAAATAAAAGTCTGATTGCTTCATTAACTTCAGGAACATGAGCCCTTCGCACCAACTGACAACAACCGTAAATGCAATCAAGGAGTGTACGGCTTAAACCCGCGTGCCTGATTGAGATTGCAAGAAAACTCATACAGGAGCTGCTGTTTTAGGTACTGCCCTAATTTTTCGGCTGATCGCTTCGTAAACGGTTTGGAAATGACCTGCATTTGACTTCATTCTTTTCAAATACAGGGTTAAACTGTGACGAACATGGACGTTCATGTATTCATACGTTCATACCAAAAAAAAATACTTCATTTGCATCTACTGCAAACTGAAAATTTCCCTTTCATAGCGAGTAACAGGACAAGAAGATAAAAGGCCTCTGATGGCAAGTTAGAAAAAAATGAAAACCAATTTTATTCCAACAAATCAAGTATTAGTATATTATTACTAAAACCGGATAGATTTCTAAGTTAAATTCATACATAAAATTTATTTTATATTTCTGAACAAGCAATAACGATACAAGCATCCACAGTCGGAAAGTTTTAATTGACGGTTTGCTCGGTGTACCTGAAAGGCTCTCGAGGAGAGGGCAAGCACCAGATGCTTCACGTAGCACAGTCTCGTAATGAAGGCTGTACACACACGGATAAATTGCACTAATAATATAATTATTTATCAGCCAACTCATGGCCTCAGTAGCGAAAAAAATAATTCACAAATACATGCAAGATCGTTTATTCCTCGACCAATAAAAACTTGAGATATTAAGATTTTCCGCATAAATTACTAGTAAGAAGTCAAAGCTCGCCAGACCTTGAAATTCTGTAACAAACTCTAATGCTATGCTAATTACTCTTGTTTCGAATTGGCGTTGCAGTAAATTTAAATTTAACAAATAAGGCCAGACACTGATTTCTGGTCATAGACCGAAATTAAATGAAAAATAAAGGGAAAGCACCAAAAAAATGATAGCGATGGAACCTGCACACCATAGGCATGGGAAATACAAAACATTTACTGAAATAATTTCGAAGTATTTAATTGCCACGACCTGTAGGACAAAATAACCAACAAGTTGAAAGGATGCGGTTAGAAAGTTCATCAGTATAGCTACGATGATAATTAAGATGTTAAAGACCACTTGTGTGGTCCGGAACTCATATCTCACCGGTTGGAAAGGGTTGGCACGTAAATGCCTCTCCACACCGTGCCACGGTTGAAAATCTCCCCAGTCGGGTCCGCCTCCCGGGTAGAGTTCGATCGATTCACTGCAGAAATAAATATTTATGTAAATGAAAATTAAGATCAAAGGCATATAAATTACTAGATTCATTATTAAAAAACACATAATACCAAATATACCGGATAATTTCGAGCCAGCAACAAAATTAGGCTTAATCTGTATTGATTGAGCTTAATTAATAATAATAATAATTAAATAAATTTCAACACAGCGGAAGTTAATTGGATGGATTGTAATTTGGCTGTTGATTTTCACGTTCAGCTGGATTAGGTTGAAATTACGCACTTTAAATATCAACATTCTCAATATCATATTTTGATATAATTAATTAGGTAAATTAGCTCAGCAATATCCAATTCTAGCCACATGAATGTATCAAAGATTAAAACAAAAAGGCAGTTACATAAAATGTACTCAGTGTTGAAATTGAAAAAATGCAAAGAAATTGTAACATAAATCGTCGATTTGTTGCACTAAGCTCATTGTCAGGAAATTAACTAAGAAATTACTCATCGTAAATGTTGAAGAACAAATTTTATCGAGACGATCGCTTAGGTCCTCTAGTGACTACCGTATAGATCCTCTAGAAACGATCGTATATAGAAAATCTAGGGACGATCGCATGGCTCTTATCAAGACGATCGATCGCCTAGCTTCTCTCGAGGCGATCGACTAGATTCTCTCAATGCGATCGGCTAGCGCTAGATCCTCGCGAGACATTATCCTAGATCCCCTTCAAATGATCATAGCACTCACATGCGAAGAGCCATCGGAGCTCGCGTCAACACCAGAACGCAAAAATAATGTCAGGAATGTTGAAATACCCGATGTTTATTTACGTGACAAATCGCCCGCCCTCGTCGGAGCCAAAATCAAAGTTTGAAAGTTTGACCCGAGTACTTTTAAAAATGAATGCTCTGATCTTCCTGCCACTGCCCGACTGAAAAACTATGAAAAACAAGATCCGCATCTCAGCTTTCCCGGAAAATTAGCCATAAAACTGGACAGGTGACGTCGTGCATGGCGCTCTAAAACTGCCTAATGTTTCCTGCGAGGGCGGATTTGAAAGCTCCTGAGACCCGGAGCGTCTCAGGTGTCCATGAAATTTACGAGACCGGCGAGAGAGATGTGCGTGTCGTATGATGACTTAACGAATATTTTAACGAGGGGCGACAGCCCATGGTCCCGGGTGAGCTATAATGGTTTCCGAAATATTCTGTAAAGATGACCACAAATTTTTATCGAATTATATGAAAAATGTCGAGCTTGCGTCCTCCGTGGACATCCACCTCGTCTTAAGTGGCCCCCCAAAAAAATTATGATCGATGCACGGCGTTAGGTTGAGTGAATTTATTTTGAGAGAGACAAGCGATGCTACTCACTGCCCGAACATACATGTGCGAAAAACGGATAAGAGCGGAAACTTGGAAAGTGATTTTTTCCACTTTGCGCAGTTGTCGTAGAGAGTAATATTTCCACATTACGAATTCAACATAAATGCTAGTTCCGTATGTTGGCGTTCATGAAAAGAAAGAAGAAACATGAATAAAATTCCGTTCGTTTGCTTAAAATTAGCACATCGACACGGATCTTTTATAGCTAAATAATTTTGAGGACTGAAAATTTTACTAACAATAAATCTCGTGCTATTATATCAGTATTATTTACTTTATCTTTACCAATGAGGAAATGGGTGCTCATCTTCCTTACTTAAAGTCGTTACAATACGCGCAACAACGTCATAACCTCCGAGTGACATCTGTATTACCATCCATACAAAAGTTGTTGCTAAATTTAAGTGAAACGACACTTTTCCAGTCAGGAAAGCCGGAAGTCTAAGAAAGCACCAAATTCCATGTTCTTCCACCCTATTTTTGGCCCAATGAAAATATTCATTTTCTTACCATTTCTTTAAGTTGACTAGTGCCTGAGCCACTGCACGTCTTGTCAACGAAATTTAAGATTCATACATATGTCCACATTTTTCTGTCATACAGAAAAAAAAGAACGTCTAATTTAAACCCAAATTTTTATTTCACATTCCAAATCTGCCAAATGAGTTCTGATTAATTAAACACTCGGGGCCGGTGCCTCCTGCCTACATCATTACCATATTTTCAATCATCTGAATACCGAGTCTCGACCAATAGACTTTCGCGGCAGTCAACACCGTCATTCCCGCGGTGGTACTCCCGATTATAAAATGTTAAACCAAAAATACCTTTGATCAAATTTATAGAAAAACTTCGCGTTATTATTGAAATTTATTAAAAAAGTGAAATAATTTACATTGAGCACCAGCTCAATTTCTCTGCGTACACATGCAGTAGCTCATTGAATCTGTTGCTATTCGACAACACGTTAACTGCCACGTATAGCCATTGAATGAGTTAGAATAGCCGGAAAAATAACAAAATAGTTTCCTAAAAGAACATACAGACAAAAATACTTGGAAACGTTTTTGATCAAGCCTTGTCCTGAGATACAATCTACGATATTCTTAAAACCGTCAAAGATCTGCTTCTGTTTTATATGGTCCACGTTTATGGAAGCAAAATAAAACGACATTCAATGAGAATATTAGTGAATAAATAGCATTGAATTACTTCATACATGTGCTTCTGCATGTCTGTTATCGGCGTGGGCCATCATAACTGACCTGCACACCCCTATAGTGATATGAATATGATGAAAAACATGCGTTTGATTTTGATGCCGAACAAAGAACCCGTGCATGAATTCCGGATTTTATTAGTGTATTATTATTGAAAGTTTATTTAACTGTTTTGATATCTGGCCTCAATACAAGTCTCATTGAGTTGTATACATTCAAGATTCGATATATTATTTTATTTATTAATTCGAGCGACAAATAGAGAGCTACAAAATCAGCGCTATTTCAGCTTTATTAACTTTCCCGGGGCTTCCATGATGCAATGAATGCCCCAGGGCTTACGGTGGCCTCAGAAACTAACGGCTAAGAAATTTAATCAAAATATATTGAGATCAAAACAAATAAAATATTACATATTTTGTTGCCCTCATACAGACCTTCGCTGAATCGTTTGAAAAAAAAATATGTTTCTTCTCAGAAAAATCTAGTTTTTTCATTTACTCGTACGAATTAAGGTTAGGAAGGTGATCGATAAGTCCAAGTTAAATTTTAAATTAGAAATGTGGTTTGCCTTATTTAATACATATATCGAAGAGCTTTTTCTGTAAAATTCTTTAAATAGGAACGCTATCGTGATCGCGGCTACTGGAAACAATCGCGCTTTTAGAAGGAGAGGCATACGGTGGCTCAAACAGACGCCACGCCACTGCAAAAATTGGGTAGAAGAATCGATGCAATCTAATTTATTCTCTTTGGACAGTGGATAGAATAGGGAGGCCTACATAGATCTTTCAGCCGACTGTACAAGACATTGAAACGAAAGAGTAACTACTTGAATCCAGCATTAAATAATCAAACGACGTTATACATTGATAATTTGAATTTGAACTCATTGTGTTGACAAATAAATTATCTCGTATCAATTTTAGTATGAGAAAATACGTGCTCGACATTAATGCAAGAAGTTTGTTGCTCTCACAAGATTCCAAATCCCGAAAAATCTATTGAGCCAGTACCATTCTCACCATTTATTCAAGCCGGGTGAACGCAACGAGAAATCAACATATTTAATTTATTCACCTAACCCCGACCCATCTTTAATGTGGTACTTTTGCCGCAAGCTCCTTGACATCGCTGATCAACGATACTTTAGCGTCATTTTGGTGCCTTGTCGGTGAAGTGGATGAGCGATTTTCTAATTTCGTCGGTCTCGTCGTAACCTTAATCTTACAGAGTAAGATTTTCTGATCACCATGGGCCTGGACTAACAGTACAACCTCGACCAAAATCCTCATTACAATGTGCTGGCTGAACCCGTCCACCATCATCAACTATTGTTATTGTTATTAATCTATCTGGCTTACAATTAAAACGTTTCTTAAATCAAGTTTTCAGACCAGCTAATAATTTTCCATAACGATAAGCTGGTATTAGATACCCGACAACCTCAGGAGCTTCAACCATGGAGTGACGTCATAGAGACGTAAAATGTGAGTCATAGGTGTACGATACTCTACGATAGTTGTCAGTAGCAGTTGTGATGAGCTGGTGCCAAGTTTACAGTGTACAATATAGGTTAGCTGATTAATTGATCCTTACTGAAAACGATCCGTGTAAATTGTAAATAACTTAATTGCGTTTGCCTATTTTTTTCGTTTGCCTATTTTTTTATTTTTTCAGCGCAATGCACAACTTGAGAATTATAATAATATATAAATAATAATAACTTATAATAATAACAATATCAATAATAAAATATTACATAAATTAAAAATACCTAATAAAATTATACAATAATTTAATCAAGTATAATTAGATAAACAACTTTATTTACGTACTTTTAACGGACGGGGAGCCACTAGGATCAGGGGAGGCGGTGGGGGGCTTAGGCCCGCTGCCCCCACACGAGGAATGTGCCCCCAAGCTCTTCGACTCCTGTCCAGAAAAATGTTACTGACATTTTTCAAAAGTTTACTTCCTTATTATACAAGAACACAGTTATATATTATATATAGTTATTATATAGTTATATATAATCATTAATATATATATATATATATATAATATATTATATTATATATAGTTATTATATAGTTATATATAATCATTAATATATATATATATATATATAATATATTATATTATATATAGTTATTATATTATTATAATATAATATTTATTCTTATTATAGAACGATTTTACAAAAACAAATACCCTTAAAAATTAAAAAATGTGCACTCCAGTACGAGATGCTGCGTAGATACGCTACAGATATACGAGATAAATTAGTGGAAAGATTTCGTTATTTCAATTATTTCGATTTTCTGGTTTATCTTTTCAATTACCGGTATTCTAGACGAACCATTGCGTTTCAATTATTAAGACAAACCAATTATATTTCAATTTTTCATTATAAACATGCTGATAAAATGATGTACAGCTCGGCTGAAGTTAAGTCGTCAAAAATTCTATTATGCTGTCCTGCTTCATGCAGGATGACAGCTACTCCAGGAGGTTCAATAATGCTAGATAAATTAATTTGAAACCTGCACGATCACTTCTAAATAATAGGCCTCCATCAACTGCTCATGGAGCACGCCAATACCCAAGTTACGTGAATGCAATCAAAAACTTTATAATTAATTAGGTATAACAGCTAGATTACTCAGTTTTGGTGCGGGAGAAATGTGGAGGACAAATATACGATACTTCTGATAAGTTTGCGGTCTGGAAATATTTGCGGTCAGGCTAACGAGTAAATTGGTATAAAGTTGTCACAGCGTTCACTTTAAATCGTAAATTGCAGAGGTCAGAGAGGGAGCTCACTCACCAGTTCCTTGCAGAGGTCAGAGAGGGAGCTCACTCACCAGCTCGTTGCAGAGGGATCAGAGAGGGAGCTCACTCACCAGCTCGTTGCAGAGGTCAGAGAGGGAGCTCACTCACCAGCTCGTTTCAGAGGGATCAGAGAGGGAGCTCACTCACCAGCTCGTTGCAGAGGTCAGAGAGGGAGCTCACTCACCAGCTCGTTGCAGAGGTCAGAGAGGGAGCTCACTCACCAGCTCGTTGCAGAGATCAGAGAGGGAACTCTCGCGCCGCCGTTCGCGGGGAGCGAAGATATTGGACAAGACGCTCTCGCGTCGACCACAGTCGAGCCGAAACCTGCATGATTGCATGTTATTTCATTGTCGTTTTAACATGAAGGTTAAAATGTTTTTCATCTGAGTGTTCACTCGTTTGAATTTGTTCATATAAGTATATAACTTTAATACATTATATTCAGGTGATTTAAGCTTTACAGTCGGTTATTTAATTTTCAAGAAATGGAACTCTTTCAGTGAGGGAGAACCATGTTATAATGAAAATAAATCAATGAATTGAGCTGATTATGACTCTCAGACATACATTGATCCGTGCACATTTTGTCATCAAGAAAACGGGGCCGCTATTCTTGTATGTAATTCGTTAGCTTTTTCGGAACAATTTACATAAATGGTACATTAACCAACCAAATAAAGAAAACCCTTCCAATGTAAATGAAAAATAATTTAATTGGATTCAAGTTCTACAATATAAAAAAAAATTTAAGTAAATCCACTTGATTTTATAATCAAGTGGATTTTAATTTGTATGCATGAAAAGATACATACAAATAATTAATTGTAAGACAAAAAAATACCTTAGACACAAGTAGGTCTCGATATAGCGTTTCAATGCAGTTAAAAATTCGAAATGAATGATTCAGAAAAGCAAGAGGACAAAAAACAAATATAATTCAGAGCTTCCAAAACACCATCTCACTTTTGATTATATTAAAGGTATCCAAGTCCAAGGTTTTTGGCAATCCATTGGATTTATGTCAGATATTTGAATTTCAATTAGTTTTATTACAGGCTTATGATCGCATGCCTGCCAAATGTTCGAAGAAATTGAAGGGACTCACCTTTCTTCCCCGGCCATCTCTGGCATGTGTATTCTGCTAGGTGGTCTCTGAAAGAGTCTCTGTCGGGAGTTTCGAGTCTGCAGTATTCGATCTGAACCATGGGGCTGCTTCTCCACAGCCGAGTGCAGAGAGGCAAACTGAGAACTGTCGTTGGAACTCAGAGAACCTCTTTCCAGGGCTGCTTCCTTGAGAGTCATGAGATTCCCGAGGCGGAAGGATAGCTGCGAGTCTTCTTTTTTCAGGGAATTGGATGACGCCACTTTTTGGATACCGCTTCTCGAGTTTACCTCGACGCGTCCATTCCAAGGTGGCAAAGTTTGACTGTCTGGAGGATCGACTTCGCAAGATCCGGATATTTCATTCAAATTTTTGGAGGAACGGGATATTTTCTGTTTACGACCAGGAGTAGAAAACATCGAAAAGATTTTATGTTCTGGAGTGCGACGAGGTGATTCAGAGTCGCCGTAATTGGGACACGTGGAAACCATTTCTTGATTATCAACTCTTTCTCGATGGACGGGCTCTCGCGGATCGGCCCGTTTACCCGAACCCGACGATGAGGACAGCTCGTGTAATTTAGAGACACTTTTACCATGGACCTCAGGCCACGATGAACTGCTGATGGACTGACTGCGATCTTCAGGCTCGAGTTCATCCGGCGAAAAAAGCGAATTTCTGATCTTATGAGAGTCTTGAACGTGACTTCGTTTTTTCAAAAACCGTTTGCAAGGCGATTCTTCGTTCTTGTTTTTCAAGTCCAAGTCCACAATTTGGATCTCGTCGTAATCAAAGGACATTTTATCGCTGCACGATGTCATTTTTAATGGAAAGTGTTTATTGGCAATGCTGTCGTCAGGCTCCTCTGAGCTCATAACACCGCTGTCGGTCTCACAGACCTGCCGCTTGGTGGTTTCTTCGGTTTCCATGATAACAAATACTCACGAACTAAATGGTGTAAAAACATCGCTCAAGGTTGAGGAAAAGCTATCAATGAAGTAGCCATCAGAAATCTGGAAGGGGGAAAGGACATTTCTTATTCTAATAAGTTTAATTTAACATTCCAATTCAATCACTGACCATACTAGTCTTAATTGCCTAATTAAAAATAAGCATTTCAATTAATAGTAAATACATTTCGAAAAGCATGCAAAACAGCTTTTTGCAACAGTGAAATGTCGATCTAATTATCAAGAGCCTTTATCGCTGTTCCATGATCTATGTTCAATGTTATACAATGACGGACATAGATCTACTTTTCATCAAATCTCAGCTGTTTAAAAAAATGGGTAATAATCAGGGCCCATACTTTCAAAAAAAGTTAATGGATCGTAAGTTCATCAGCCAATCATTGACGGCCTTTTAAACAAAATCCACCAATCATAGACCAGAAAATAGAGCGTAAGTACTTACGTTCACTTAGCGAGTTTTGAAAGTATGGCCCCAGGCTCTTAGCTCCACAATCTAGAATCTCTATCGTTTAACAAATGACCCGGAGTCCTACTTCGTTTTAAATCTATCAATTATTAACAAGAATCTCAGCTCCACTATCTAGATCCGTTTATAAATATTCGCGATTTCAGCTTCAGTTTTTCAATCTATTCATTAATAACAGGACCTCAGCCCCACGTTCTAGATACATTAACAAATTTTATTGATTCCAGCTCCTTTTTATAAATCTATTCATTAATAACAGGACCTCAGCCCCACGTTCTAGATACATTAACAAAGTTTATTGATTCCAGCTCCTTTTTTAAAATCTATTCATTAATAACCAGGACCTCAGCCCCACGTTCCGGATCCGTTATAGAATGGCCGAGATCATCCAGCACCATAATATTGGTCGTAGCTGGAAGTGTAGCCACAATTTCTGAGATCGCATATAAGCTCACGGCAGCTCATGCGTGGCACGTCGCCGAGATTAGATTCCAGTGGCGGAGGTGGCTTGGGATGCGCGTGGCATCTCTGGCCCACGTAGGCATTGACAGGACTTTTATTGGTCTTTTCTACGACCAGAGCTCATCTCTTGATAACTGTAATGTGGGACTTTTACTGGTCTGCTCTATATACACGACCAGCCAGAGTTCACCCCTTGATAACTCTGCCATGTAAGTCTTTAAGTGGTCTGATCAACGGACAGAGCTCGTTCCTTAACAACTTTTGTCATGTCGGACTTTTATCGTCCACTCTACGGCCAGAGTTCGCCTCGTACGTGGTACCTTCGTCTTGTTGCACTCTTTATGGACTGCTCTACGCCAGAGCTCGCCTTTGATAACTCTGTCCTATAAGTGTTTCATCGTCCGCCCTACGGCCCGAGCTTGTTCTTGATAAGTCTGTCATTTGAGACTTTCATCCTCCGTCCATCGGCCAGACTTTTATCGTCCGCTCTACAGCCAGAACTCGTCCTAGATAACTCTGTCATGCAGGACTTTAGGTAGTCTAATCTACGCCAGAGCTAACCTCCTGTTAACACTGTTATAGAGAAAATCTTAACAGGGAAGCAAAAATTTAATCTATTCTATTCGCGGCAAAAATTCACGAGGACGGCTTGATTGTTCGTTTTTTTTCATGGCAATCTGGCACTGAATGGACAGAGGAACAGTTCGTGAGCTCCTATCAGTGATCGTTGAGCGGCGTGTAGAACAGTTAACAAGATTGTTCTATAAGCGATCATCCGAAACTTCGTGCGTATTTCACACCCACGACAATTTTAAATTATATGGTTGGACGGTCATGATCAATGATCGTGTCTGTAAACACTTTCTTTGTATTTTCAAACTCTATAATAAATCGCTAATATCTACAGCGTCCATTTAATATTTATTGGAAAATATAAGTGTCCTCAAGGGTCAGAAAAATTCCATCGGATTTTATCCTCTCCATAGTTTTAGGAAAATTTCTGTAACGACGGCGAACAGAACGCGGCGAAGATCACGCGCCTCGCAGCTCCAGCGACACTCGACCGACTGGACGCGCCTGGAAAGAAAGAATAAGCGCGTTAGAGTAACAGCAGGGACAAACAACAACATAAGAAAAGAAAAAATGTGAAATTTTAATCTAAAAAAATATTAAATTCATGCAAAGTGCTGTTATAGCAAAAAACGATGAACACGAAGAGTGTTGAATAAGTCGTATGAAACTGCTTCTCATATATTAACTAGACCAGCACATGCGCGATTAACAATAAGAAAACAATACATTTTAAAAGGGCAAGGAAATATGCGGTCTACACATATTACTTCTTCATTAAATCAAGAGAAAATCCCGTGGAAATTCAACAAGAACCTCAATGAAGAACTTCCTGTGATACTGACAACACTGAAAGTGATTTTGTATAAGGGAAATGGAAATAATTTTTGTACATGGGTAACATATGCAGCATTTTGGTGTCCAAATATATTTAAAAATCCAAGCAAAACTGTGTTCATTTTTGTTCGTTGAATGCAGCTCATTCTATTATGAAACAAAATTTGTCGGAAAAAACAATGTATTTTTCAATATCACACAATAATCACGTATACCAGACTCTATGTTATACGATCGCTGTGAACCACTCGCATACGAATTAAGTTACTAACCAATTTATTAACTAATACAAGAATATTTTGAAGATAAATTATTAGAAAAATATTCCTACGGTTGTGGCAGCACATCTTCTTTAGTACGTGCGTAAGTCATTAAAGTGAGAGTAGCACCAAAATAGCATAGACCGGTTGGTTGCCGGCAAAATTTTCTTTGATTCGTAATTCAGATCCACATTATTTACAAAAAAAAATATACCCGGAAACAAGAGAAAATTGTGAAGATGAAGTTTTCATATGATAAATATGATATATGTATTCGTTAACTCCAAATTCACGGAATAAAATTGTAATAATATCGTATGCGTGTCGTGCAATACATTATTCGTCGTGGCAATATCACGCTGCTTCGCTAATTTATTTATATATAACACAAACCTATGAATCAGCTTGTGATGATTGCGTTCAAATTATTCATCGAAAATGGTGAAGTAGATGTATGCAAGAAATAACTTTTCAATAAAATTTTGTGATAAACCTCATGAGCTTATATCAGCCAGAAAATTACACTCACCGTTTACATAACTAAGGAATAAATAATGCTTTTATTTATCCCTTCAAAAGTCACGAAAACAAACGACAAAATTTACCCCCCAGAGGAATTAGTTGCTCTAGATGACTTGCTTAGGCGACTCGAACATTTAATTTATTCATTTTCAAGCATTCATTTTACTACTTGACATTTTTTATTTATTGTGTTTTTAAAAGTAAAGAAAATGATAAAAATTGTATTTGAAAATTACCATATCTGCTTGCAATTTCAAACTTATAGGTTTACAATTTGAAGATTGTCTCTTTTACTTCTTTTTATCATGTCAACACTCGTAATTGCGCCTTTTAACCAATATCTAAATACATCTGGGTTAGTAACGTGAGTCATCAAGACTCATTTGAATACATGAACACAATTAAGATCTTGAAATAGAACTCAACTACGAGCTGTGAATGCGGCTATATTCACGCCCCATCCATCAAGTCTAATCTCTTGGCTCATTTGTATAATAATCTAATTATACGTTGAATGTCCCAGTTTTAATTCATGCAAGTGTGACACGATCACAAGATGTTAAGATGAACCGCATTCGCTTGTTGCAGTGTCTTGAAACGCCGCTTGTGACGTTGCCGTTGAGAGCGCAGAATGCTACTTGAGAATACATCTTTTTGCAACACTTGCAAGCATAGCTCATGTGTCAGTCGAACATGCTCTTTTAAATTTAAGTTTATATAAGATTTACCGCTTTTTTATGTATCAAAATAAGATATTTGGTAAATAATCAGATATTTGGTAAAACTCTGCGAACAAAAGTTTTTGATGTAAGGATTATGGCTTGATCTTTCAAAAATAATTTTAAAATGCTTCAGTAAATTAAGTTTATGAGATGATTTTCAAACATATATTTGTAATCTCGGTGGAAAGCATTTACTACTAGTCCTGATCAGTAAACTGTGTTGCTTTGCATACACAAATTTATTTGCTCACGCTGGTGAATTTTACAAAATTAAAAAAAAAATAAAATTTTATTCGGTAAAGTCATAGGCGCCAGCCCACCTGGCCTGGATGATGCTCCTTCCGCTCAATTTGGCCAGCCAGAGAAGGATGGCTGTAGGCCTTCCAATAACCCTTCACATTACGATCCTGCCTCGGCTCAATTCCCGTGAGGCCTTCAGTTCCTCAAAGGTTTTTTGTATTGTTTACATGAATGGGTTAATATTCATTTAATTCATATTTGTATTTATTCATGACGACCCTGCCACTGCTGAATTCTTATGGTTTAGAGCCCTTAAATCGTTGTTTGTTTTGCTAAAATTAATGGATTAATATTTCGATTTACATAAAAGGGAGAACTCTTGTGCTACAATTTGAATGAATTTCATTACAATCAAATTGAGGAAATCTCATTAACCAATTTTAGTATACAGATTTTCATTCATGGATGCATTTTCGATGTAACCTCGTCCGTAAACAAGCACCAAATCAATGGTATTTTACATGAAAGTTTCAAGAATTTGCGACGGTTCGTCTTGTTCTGCAGATGACGGCATAAACTCGGAGATTTTTTTTCAAACTGTTATAGCAGTTCTTTTAAATTCATCATTAACATTAATATCAAAGAAATCAATCTTCCTTAACTGCCGCAAAAAAATCTTAAACTTGCTAATTTGAATGAAATAAACTGCAAAAATATAGTGCAGCACGACACAGCCGTGCTCAATAGTTAGTAAAAATGTAGCAGTATTTTCAATTCAATTTTTTGCTTTAGTCCGCGGATGCTACTCAGAAGTTTCAAGTACTATGCAGACTTGAAAAGCTGTGTTCATTTTTCGTGCTGCTGGATAGAATAATATCTTGTCAATGTCAACGTAACAAAAAATATTTCAAGTTCAAATCCGCATAATACCTGCGATAAGAAATAATATCGGGTTGGTTTTTC